AGAAAACTCAACGAGGATTGGGCATCTCTCTTTCACCCAGATCTTTCTTCTCGCTCGTGACTGAAGCGGATATCCCGCGAGCAGCCCAGCCAGTGGAATATCACTGTTGGGTGTTCCCAAATGCACGTAAGTGCATCTTTGAACCCGGCATGAGCATGGCAAGATAGCAGCAGCACGGACATGGATAGGCCTGGGCGCGCGATTTCGGGGACAGGGGCACTGTGGCGTAATTCACCCACCTTGGGTTGCACTTTTGGGGGGGCCGAAGTGACTGAGTGCTCCTATACGTGGTACAATTTTCCCACATCCCGGCTCTACACTTCCGTGCGGCCACGTGGAGTGACTGTGAAAAGTGCGGTTGAGAAGTCGAGAGAGCGAGCAAAAGGTCGAATGTGACACCGTGATCCCTCTTTCAAGTTTTCAAGAGCTTCCAGTCGTTCCAGAAATGGATTTCCGTCGTTCTCGTTCAGGCTGACGGGTAACAACGCTGCAAGCGAGTCCCGTGTAGTACCCGAGCTGTCATTGTCGCACGAGCTGTTCGCTTCAGCCTTCGCGTCTCCCCTATCGCGGGCACGCGGTTGTCACCGTCCCGTTAGTGTAGGACCATCCCATCTTTTGACACTTTGAATGTCACTAAACTCTGGACTGGGGACGTTCCAGAATCCGCGCCAATGGGACACCAATCAGAAAATCCCCCTTCCGTGGCGATGGCCTAGTGTAGATGGATGATCTATACTTGATCCGAGGGCCACGTCCGCTTTTTGGGCGTTGGTGTCACTTGGTGACCCCCCCTCCAACATCTTCTCCCCGAAAAAAGCAATCTCGATGTGGTTTCCAGACTGGACTCTGTCTCCGTCCGAATGCTCCCTCTGTTGGCCGTTGTGTGACACATTTCCGGCTTCGTGATTCGGCCGAATGTCCAACGGTTGGGCCTTGGCAGGGATTCGGACAATTTACGGCGGTAGTAGCAGTGACATGTGTCGACGGTGGATTTGTGGGAACGCAAGTCTCAGGAAAAAAGGAGAAGGACATCGGGAGTTTTCCTGTTCGTACGTTTTTTATTTTCCTTTTTGTTTCTTGCGTCTTTCCTTTTCCATACGTCGCTGGCACTCTGTTCTGGTTTTCTCTCCCCCCGACGACGGATGTGATGAGTAAAGCTGCGGCACGCCGCACGCCGCAGCGGAGGCCTTGCTGGGCTGTGAGCCCGCGCGGTAGTATTATCTCTTTATTTCGATATGGGTCTATATGGAAATGGCCACATGCCGTCCAAAGCGGGCCTCCCTTCCTCGGGTGCGGGATGCTCGGTCGTTCCCAGGGGAGCTTGGCCGCTGATTTGACTGAATCGTGAAAGGTTCAACGTTGCAAAGTAACGGAGCTCGAGGAACCTTCTGTTGCAACACCGATGGGGTCGTGCTCTCAACAACAAACGTGCGCCCAGAAATCAGGAGCATAGCACGATAGCAACAGTATTACAGAGTAGTAACTAACTAAAAGCAAAAAAAGATTGAGGAGGTTTCGTCGTTTAGGGGAGAGATCAAGAGGGCCACCGAAACTTGCGCGATCCACGTGTGAAAGCCCAAGGGTGAAAGTTAAAGGCCCAGGCCTAAGCGGAATACGTGTGGATACTTTTGCTAGGAAAACTTGTGCCGTCGCAAGATTCCAGGAGTACGGGTTGGTCGGCGGAGATGATGGATATCGCGCGGAACTTCGGAACTCCCCCAACTCCCAAAGGTGACCAACTGTGACGCCACGCGAAAATACTCAAAGAGGGAACCAGACGCTCCTTTCCCGCAAATTACGTAGCAATGCGATGCCGCTTACCGCTTACCGCTTACCTCGGCCGAGGCATGAGCTTTTCTTCAATTTCTGGTAGCGAGCCGCACGCACACGGATTGGACAGTCTGGCGATAGGCGAGAAGTGGCTCGTCACCCTGTGATCACCCGGTGACGACAGAGCAGCAATGCTGTGATGGCGAAGAACTCGCAAGTGCCGGAGATGGCTTCCCCAAAAGAAATGCCATCAGCCGATAAGCGCAGCCGGGCTGTTGCCAAAGTTCCAGGCACACAAAACATACTAGGAAACCGGCGTCTTGGCTCCAACGGGCAGGCTACTCTCCCGACCTGGGGGAGAAAAGAGCTTATGCTCTCTAGTGTGCGTCTTTAGCCTCTCCGGAGGGAAAACTAACGGGTCTCACGTCCGGTCGTGGAAAAGCTCGCCGCGCTAGACAGCCACTTGGTACTGCAAGTCTTGTGGCTTCAAATCTTCATCGCTGACAAAGGCCTTCACCGATCGACTAGGGTTTCGAAAACGTGCCAAGCGCTCGGAGCTCCCTTTCACACTTTGGGATAGATCACATGGCTTTTTGAGCGAGAGCACTGACGAGCGGTCTTCTAGAATATCGTTGCACAAAGGGGGCCTAGCGTTCATCTCTCCACCTAGCCAGCCATCCCGGGCGGGAAGAGCCATGTCGTGGTGGCTTGCCTTGTCATACGCGTATGCGAGCTGAGAATTTAGCGTAAGAGTAATTTTGTTATCGGTCAAGATTAATTTTGATTAAACAAATCGCGGCGCAGCATGTGCCGAGAATGGAGTCTTTTCTTTTTTCTCCGTCAGACAAACAAGACGCTTGCATTGTTGCTGCAGGCCACTGCCGACATATGCAGAGTTCTGAAGAGGCGGTGGGTGATTGATAATGTCTTGATCATGGGGGAGCATTCCAACAATCGTCACGAGAAACCAGGCCTCGGAGACAAAGAACCTGATGTGCCGCTTGAATTGACGAACACGCAACCACTCTCCGAAAAGCCAAGCCGTGAAATAACATGACAACTGGCCGCTCTTGCAGTTCCGCCAATAGAATCGAGGCCCTTGAACGACCTGCAGAGCAACCATCCGGGCCAGTGATATTTCCTGGGATATCGTGCCGGGGTCTACAAGTTGAGGGTGGTGTGGCGGAACGGAGCAGGCCGCGCGAAGCGGGGTTATACACCAGGACGACGTGTTATTGAGAGGCTGGGTAGGATCTGATCAGCCCAACGTACCCTCGGCGATCTTGAAATCGATGCTAGGCTGCTAGCTGCTTATGCTGGCTGCTCACGCGATCTAGATATTCGAGAATTCGGCCTTGAATCAAAATGGATAGATTCTCCAGAGTCAAGCTGGGTGGCCATGAGCAACTCGTCAGGTGTGCCACGACTTCAGTGGCAACTTGCACGTGGGCAATGTTGGAGGCAAAGACAAACGGTCCAAAGATGCATGAGATACAGCATGTGACTCTTAGTTGAGGTATTAAGACAGGACCAACAGCAAACAGTAGCATAGTTGTGTTCAATTGTAGCCCTCGTTATTGATTCAACTGTGTCACCTATTTGCCAAACCCTGTCCACACAAACGACAATCCATAATGAATATTCAGCCAAGCCGTTGAGTCTTGTATGTGAGCTGTCTTTGAACAATAAGTGTTTTCTAGAGAAAGAAAGGTACTCGCGAAGGAAGAGAGACGGCAGATTGAGTTAATTGTCCACATATTTCGAATGTCAATCTCGACATTGTTTACTACCTTAAGTACGTAGTACACTGGCCACTTGAAGAGGTTCAGCAGATCTATGTATTTGGCTTCGTTGACAGACTCAGTTGATAATTGATAGACGACACTGTCTTAATTTCTCGGGTTTGCCCCATACTATCTATGACTTGAAGAGACATTGTAGTTCACAAGTGTGGAGGGCAGGATTCATTGAAACTGGCACAAGAAAATTAAGGGAACGGCAGCTGCCTGATTTTGGGAATAACGTGAAGTTAAAGAGTCTCGCCAAAATATGCTAAGTATCTTCTACACGCCTAGGGCGTTGAACGGCAACTCAATGAGACTGTTGGTATTTGTTGGTATACACGTCAGCAGGGCAACCGTACGGTTGGAACGAAGTGTCAATAATGGTCTATTATTGCTGCGTCTGGAGGTGGAAGGAGGAGATTGTGGGCAGAGCCCACGATCTCCCAGAAGTGGTATATAAGTGAAAGGGCCGTTTTTAAGTGCCCATACCGCCTTCCAGATCCATCTTTTCTGCCGACTGCTCAGAGATCCAACAGTATTCCTTTCACAGGTAATTTGGTTCGAACCGTAGGGTCCTGGGGGTGACGAAGTATCAATATCTCTGTATTTATTGATTCTGCGTAAGGAGTAGAAGGGAGATTCCAACCGGAGGTTGGGTGGGTAGTCGAGGTCTAAGTGTACCCCCTCGAGGTGGCCCATGCTCTGCCTCTATTCGCGGTCGAATTGGACTTCCAATCCGACATTCGCCAACGGTACAGATAATAGTCCTTGATGACAGATTATGGAGGCCTTCTACAACCTCAAGCCCGTCTCTGATCAGCCAACTCAGACCGGGTCGATCCCTGCTTCTCGTCCTTCCCATTGGCGGCTGCAAAGAAGTCTAGTCGAGTGTAAGCGGTGCACTGTCGCTCCTCGGGAGATATGCTTAACCCCGTGTCAGCGACTAACAGGGATGTAAGGTATTACGGGGACTTTTTTTTGCCCGCAGGCAATTTTAAGCTCAGCCCTACAAACTTCATCATGATTGTAGAAACCAAAGGCGGCTTGGTGAGATCAAGGCCTGAATATCTAAGCCTCGGCTGATCAGCATGCATACGCGGCACGTATGTACGGTCATCACCGCCTGCTTGCAGCTTGCAGCTTGCTGTCGGACCAGGCCGCTCTTTATGAATGATGACGGTGATCATGGAGATAGCGTCATAAAGATGTTATCGTAAGGTAAGTAGGCGAAGAACTACAATCCCGAAATACCGGGCTCTAGGAACATAAAGAAATATAAAAGTCAAACTCTCGTTCTCTCTGGACTGTTCTTTCCAAGCAAGGAACAGCATAGTACCCTGTCCTTCTTCCACTTTCATCAAAGTTTCTTTCTGCTACCGTGAGAAACCAAGCACACGACATCATACCACGCCAAGCAGTGAAGCAGTCAACCCGTAAACCGTAAACATGGCACTCAACATAACAAACTCAACAATGTCAACAATGCGAGCAGTAGCCTGGTTCGGCCAACCCTACAACGTCTCCGTAATCGACATGCCCGTGCCCATGATCCTCAACCAAACAGACGTCGTCGTCCGCATCACCTCCTCCGCCATCTGCGGCTCCGACCTCCACATGTACCACGGCTTCGGCCACGAGGCCGTCGGCTACGTCTCCAGCGTCGGCGACGCCGTCTCGAGTCTTACGGTTGGCGGCTACGTCATCGTCCCAGACAACGCCAACGACGGGCACTGGGGCCCCTCGCACCCCCTGTCCTTTGGCGTTGGAAACTCAAATTATGGAGGGCTGCAAGGTATGTCCTCTTTCGGGAGAAACCCACCCCATCTCTCCAGTACTCCTATTCCTGTATGGTTCCTCCGTTCGGAAGCCGTCGTTGTTCACAGGAGAAGAGGAACCCTAAGCTAACCCGTTCCTCGCCCTGTAACAGCTGAATACGCAAGGGTTCCCTACGCCGACACATCCCTCATCCCCATCCCAATAACCTCGACCAACAACACAGCCGAGCTCGACTATCTCATGATCTCAGACGTCTTCACAACAGGCTAGCACGTCCTATCCTACTCAGGCTTCCAACCCGGCGACACAGTCGCCATCTTCGGCGCCGGCCCCGTCGGTCTCCTAGCAGCCTACTCCGCTAAACTTCGCGGTGCCTCCAGGGTCTACATCGTCGACCGTATCGATAGCCGCCTCGAGCAAGCCGAATCCTTTGGTGCCATCCCCATCGATTTCTCCCAGGAAGACCCCGTAGAAGCAATACTAAACCGCGAGCCCGGAGGCGTGACGCGCAGCGTCGACTGCGTGGGTTTTGAATCCGTCAACGCCACAGGAGATCCCCACAACGGCATCGTGCTGGAGAACATGGTTGCGGTGACCGCTGTGTATGGAGGGATGGGCATCGGCGGCGTCTACAATGGTGGCTCAAACAGTACCGAAGGAGCGCCCAATGCGGGGACCCTCCCGGCGGAAATTCCCATCCCCATGGCCTCGCTGTGGAGGAAGGGACTGTCTGTCGGAACAGGTATCCTTCTGCCTTTGCTGAGGGCTCCTCCCTTGCTGGACTTGATTGCGTCTAGCGTCGCTAAGCCGAGCCTCGTGGTCACCGCGGAGATCGGCATTGAGGATGCGCCAGAGTAATACCGCCGCTACAGCGACCACTTGGAAAACAAAGTCGTCATCCGGTTCCCTTAGATAGATAGCGTGTAGCGCGAGACGACTGAAGGGGCAGTGATGATAGAGAGTGGAATTGCTCTGGCAGATCATGATACTAAACGTAAGACCTCAAAATAACCCTGCAACTAGTTGACACGAGAAGCCCAAGTTTCCAATCAGTCGTAAATATACAACCTCTTCATACATATTCCCAATACAAACCAGAAAGTACAACAATACATAACAAGCAAAAAAGAAAGAGAAGGGGCCGCCAGACATAGCGGGAAAGGAGTGGTGGGTAAAGAACGAAAGTGGACGATTTCGAAGTTGGCTGGGGCATGACAATATGCCATGGCCTCGAACAACCATTGTGATGTACTAATAACGTATAGGCGCCCAGAAAAAACCTGGCATCCGCTGCGAACAAGGTATTTCGCTTGCTCTCACATGTAGTTTTGCCGAGCACCAAGAGGGTCCTCAATGCTACCAGTTCCGTAGGCCGAGTCGGGGTCAGTGAGGCACTGGTCGTCCGATGATGCGAAGCTTTGGGGCATATTATACTGGTCAAAGCTGGGAAAGGTGCGCCAGTCGAAATCCGGATATCCAAAAGCCCATGGCTCCATGCCCTCCAAGACACTGGCGCCGTCGCCAACGGTCAAGTCGGTTTCGAGGGCCGCTGGCGAGCTCGCTCGAGACCCGGGTCGCGCAGTTTCTGGGTCACCCAGAGCTGCCGCTTGCGATGGCGAGGGTATGTTCTCAAAGATGTCGGCACATCTGGCCGAGGAAGCCCGGATCCAGCCCACGAGGCGGTTCATGATACCTTCCTCGAAACCCTCGAAGTGGCGGTCAAGCTCACTTTCAAGTTCGCGTTGAATCATGTTGGGCATCTCACGTCGCAAGAACTTAACATACTGGCGCTTCAGAGCCTCAGAGTTGGAGTCGCCTGCCGTTTCGTCGTACCCTGTTACCCAAGGTCAACAATTCGAACTCTTCTTTTCATCTCACGATTCTATTCTAAGACGGAGGTTTCAACTTACAAGGACTTGGAGGATTGTCCACGTCTTGCGTTCCAGGGAACAAAATGTAATATACTTCGTACCACTTGTCGACATCGTCCTTCTTACTGGCCACACGCGCTCTGAGATGCTTCTCCGTATCCTGGTCTAATCCTGCGCTTGGGTCTAGCTTGCGCGTCTTCTTGTCGCGCACAGGGCAAGCGACAACTGCTCTTAGGTGGTCCTGGAGCTGGCTGTCGCTCTTGAACGCCTCAAAGCATCTGGTGCAGGTGAAAACGCGATGTTTGCGATAGATGTGTTCCCTTTGGTTGCGTTAGTAATGAGCCCACAAGCTGGCCTAGTACCGAATATCAAACTCACTTCATGCGATGAATCTCATGCCAGCCAGGGCCAACGCAGGTTCGATGACTCTTGTATCTGGCAGGATCGTGCTTGTAGAAGGGGCACGCAAACTTTCGACGATCATCATCTTCGTCTGTCTTGGTGCGCTTCTTGTTTCGGTTTCGGTCGTTGCTCTCGTCGTTCTCCGAGGCGTCGTCATCTTCTTGATCACGCCCCTTTAGTTGGCGCTTCTGACCAGCCATAGGGCGTTGTTCAGCAGCCCGCCTTTTGATACCTCCGGACCTAGAAGACTTTGAACCCTGCTGGCAGTCCCCGTCCTGCTCGTAGGCCTCATCGCTGGGACAGACGTTGTCATCAAGCCAGTCTTCGACCTTCGCCATAAAGACTTTGATGAATGCTTTCTTGCGATGCGCCAGGTAGTTGTCGATATTCGTGGCTGGCACGGGACTCGTCCGATGTCGACCGATTAAGTCAGTGGCGCGAGCAGACCGTTGTGCTGGATCGGATCTGCGAGACGGAGGTATTGGTGAAGGTGATGATCTATTAAAGAAGTCAACATGCCGCAAAGTCTAAAAGTATTTGACGGATTACCTCTGAGAGGCACTTTGCGCCTCACTTCCTCCCCCACTGCTGTCAGTTGGGGATGGGAGTCTGTTGCTGTGTGTTCCCTGATTATATGAGCGAAGGTTTATCGAACAGGTCAATTGGATTGGTGCTACTCACTGATGCTTGTCTCACTACAAGGTCTGAGTTGGCTCGAGTGCTTGAGGACTTGGGTGGTTTGGAGGAGGGGGTTTCGTGTTTCTTAGGCATGTCCGTTGAACAGTTGCCCGGCCGGCTATCTTGTAAAGCCTTGAACCGGGAAATCAAGTACCTGAAGTCGGGGAAGGACTTCTTCGATGATCTGCGGATGTATCGAGGAAAGGGGTTCAAAGAAGGTCTAGTAGGTCTAGTGTAGGGGGTTGGTCTTAAGACGGCGAGCATTTCCTCGTACGGGTAAGAGAGTGCACGCTAACACTGGGGTTGGAACATCCTGCTCTTTTCTCAAAGTTGGAGATTTTACTGCCTGGAACAAATTGAAGAGTTGGGAAGTGGTGCTTGGAATGCTTAGCTGCGAATTGGCGGTGTTCGATGATGTTCAAGCAGGAGTAGAACCAGGCTTCAAGGCAACTCAGTGTCATTATATCTTCCTCAGATTCCGGTCTCCGCTGCTGACGCGACCCCCACTTCTCGACTCCGCGCTCAAAATTGTGCGCGCATTTGCGAACAACTTCTTTGAGAGCAATCGAGGGGGCGCATGTCTCAAGAGATGCCGCCTCACTCTGGGGAGTCCAATGGCGAATGCAGAGCGGAGATGATGGTTGATAAGCCCATTGGACGCCCCAGAAGACCACGAGAGACGCAAAATCTGGTCATCTGGGGTGGTACTTGGGAGCTGTCCGTCATTCCATCCCAAACGGTGGAGTACGCAATGTCGCGCATGTATGTCCGCATACAATGTCGCCGATGGTTCGCACGCGATCGAGACTACTCAATTGCGGGCGACGAAGGCCTTCACTTGAAGCCGAGGGGGGTGATATTTAGCAATGCGATATCCGGTTTGTCGAGGGTATCGCTCCTTCAGCGTAGGAATTGCTGTTGGTTTGGTGCCTGCCTGACCCAATTGACTTCCTGAGCGCGAGAAGAGCAGCAACCAACTGCATGTACGGCAAGCACCGTAAGTACTCACAACTACCCAGAGGATGGCCTCAATTGACCTAATGGTGACCAGTTCTCGAGACCAGAACCATCGACGGTGCTCAATCGAGCAAATCAGTCAAGACGCCTTCAATCGGAAATGGCCGGCCGTTGCGGCTGTCTTCGTGTCCCCTCCACTCGATCGTCCGCCCATGAACATTTCCGGTGAAAGGTATGGCCCAAATCATGCCACGTCAGGCAAATGAGGGGTTGAATTGCGGCAATGTAGGGGCCAACGATCGTCGGAGAGATACGGACTGCAGTCGAAGGGGCTAACTGCATTGCGGACCGTCGATGAAGCGGACGGACGGCATCAGGTCGGCGAGGTACCTTCGTCGGCAGGGAACCGGACGTGACGAACACGTGAGATGCTGTGGCTAGCGGCAGCGAGTCGGCAGCTGAAGAGCCCCCGCGTGGTAAGACGCAGCCGGTGGTCGCATTGTTGCAGCAACTCAGGCAGACTGAGGAGGGGACCCTGTAGCGAGGAACATAGGTTCGTTGCCTGTTCTGCCGATAACGGGGAGACTTTCCGGTGCTTCGTTTTTGTATTCGTATTTTGCCTTTTGGGCTATTTCAAATGCCTCGAGGGAATGTTTTTGAAATCAAAGGTGATGGAAACCCGGGATGATGGTTGTAGGGAGGATGGAGGGAAGTTGAGATGGAGAGAAAAAGAGACGATGTTTGGGACGGAGTCGTACAAGAAGTCCAATTAGAGTTTGGAGCGTGCACAGTCAGGTTTTCGGGCCTTTTGTCCTCAGGAATCAGGGCATACACGTACCCTTTCAGCGTTTGCTACCCCTAACCGCCGCCCCTGTCCGCTTCATTTCCAGCGGGGTTCAGTAATTCGTCACATCTCACGGTGCCCTGCAGGTCCGAATTGAAAACTCGTTCCTGGCGACTAGCCATCGGACTCGTGAAGATCGCTGGAGGGATCTAAAACCAGACCAGATATACGAAAGCCTACTTATGGTTGGATGAGTAAACAAAGACCTTTCCGAGATCGTAAAGCTTCCATTGCATCGCCGATACGAGTATCGCCTTAGATTAAGCAGTCTTCTTCAGGAACATACCCCGAAAGCGGCTTGCGACGATGGACGCACAGCAAAGTTCAAATAGAGTCATTGACAGCGATGTGTGAGATAAGAAAATACGTTTTGGGTATATTAAAAATGGTATCTTGCAAATGGTAGAATATTTTATGGCTTCATAAGAGTTCGTTGCGTTTCAAGCTTCCTGCTGAGAGCCGATTGCCGAGACCTCAAGCGACGGGTATTCCTACTTGCGCGCAGAAGCCGTCATAAGAGTCGCCCTGAGCCAAGTCGGCGCCCGTCTGGTTCTGGAATGAGATGCGGTTCAGAGTATTACCATCGGCCTGGTAGTTGGGCCACGTGCCGTGGCAGTTGTAGTTGAGGAGACCCGACACTGGGTCCTTTGCGAAGGCGGCCCACGCACCACGCATGTACTTGCCCACGGCATTCTCCTGCGCTGTGCTATTGTTTGCCGTCTGGGGCACGGTGTCAAAAAGGACAGGGAGCTAATTAAGCGATGTCAGTTAACATGTCTCAAGCCAAGACTAATGACGGAAAAAGAAAGCATGACGAACCTCAGATGCGTGCCATGCTCCACTGGGCGGCGTCGTTGTGAGGGCAAGGTTGGGGAAGTCGCCGAAATAACGGTATCGCCATGTCGGGTGGCCCGCGGAGACGGCCCGCGCGGCTCTTCTGGCAGCGGGACAGCTGAAAGCGACAAGGTTGAATCCAAACCAGTACGTCTCATTGAGGTCAGGGGCCCCGATCTTGAAGAGACCAGCCTCGTTCTCAGTGTTACCGATGAGATACCCTGCCTTGGCCGAGTCGCGGATGCTGTAATCGGCAAAAATAAGACGATCGTCTACCACAGGAGCGAAAGAGAGCCCTCCAGCAGAAGCAATTCCGGCATCTTGCGAGGAAAGACCCGAGAGAAGATCCGTGGCGGGCTTGTTGAGCATGCAGTCAGTGACCACCTTGGGATCGGTCAAGTTGTTACCGCAACCGACCGATGACGTGACGTTGAACCACTTCTCGTTCACAGTCTGGTTTGTGAAGATACCGAATCCAGTAGCCGTGCCACTCATGGGGATAAAACCACTGGCGATGGGGTCGGACGCGTATGCGTAAGAGTAGTAGTCGACCAAGGAGCCCCCGGCGGATTGACCAAAGATAGTGATTCTGTTGACGTCGCCGCCAAACTTCTCCACATTGTCGCGGACCCATTCCATAGCCAGGCGAATGTCGAGGAATCCAAGATTTGGGGCGGAGATCGGGTTGCCTGGAAATCCGAATAGGTTGAGGCGGTAGCTTCAAGGTTGACCCGGGTTAGCATTGACGATATCTAATTCCCCGAGGCTCCGCTGGCTACTCACTTCATGGACACCACCACCACGTCATTCTGGTCTGCAATGAACTTTCCGTTGTACGCTGGGATGCGGGAACTTCCTGTAGTCCGAGTCAGTTCACCTTGCATGCTTTCTTGATTTGTTCAGACGAAGGCATTCTTACCTGTGGTGAAAGCACCACCGTGAACCCAGACCAGCACAGCCTTTTTCGAGTCGCCGGCCTGTGGCTTGGTCCACACATTCAAGGTCAAGCAGTCTTCGCTCTGAGAGCCCGTGTCACCCAGCGCTTTGGTCACCTCAACCGCCGAAGCGGGAATACCGAGCTTCATGACAGCTTCCAGACTGGTGGGAGCGTTTCCCGGCTGCATGCACTGGTGTCCCTATTGGAATGCATCAGTATACCGTTGACAAGACATCGAATGAGAGTCTTTGAGGAATGTTTCCAAGGCTTTGGGGTAGGCTTACGAAGTCGGAGCTATTGAGAGGAGAAGCACCGGTAAACTTGACAGGAGGCTGGAAGCGCAAGGGCCCAACCGGCGGCTGAGCGTACGGAATACCCAAATATTCGGATACCTAAGAAGTGCCTTTGTTAGTCGAATTTCATCACTTCCAGTTTATATCGACTTGCCTGTTCGACGCTAACAGCAGCGTGCCCCGCAACGGGACCGCTGGAAGTCGTCACCGACTGTCCGATAGTCCAGCGAGGGAAAACTGGCTTGGCAGCAGCCAGACTGGAGGTGGTGACCACGGCCCTCAGGACATTATTGATGATGCTTTGGGCTCTCATGGTGATGTTGAGGTTGAGAGAGCTCAACTAACGATAGACTAGAGGCCTGAGGGGAGGTGAGGTGAGGTGAGGTGGGCGTGGTGGAACCAGGAGACTGGCTCTGAAGTTGCGGATAGGCGCTATTAAGAGGACCGCCTTGCTGGGATCGCAACAGGAGGGGACCTTGACCTCGTCTTTATGTCAACGAACTTTGCTGAAGCCATTGTGGACCATGCTTGCCGAGGGGACGATCCCCAGCTTTCCGATTGCCTTGGGCCGCTCCCAAGAATGCGCGATGCCTCCTCAATCGTCCCATTATCACGAAGGGTACCCGGGATAATTAGCCCGCTTGCCAGTGGGCGTCCTGAGAGACGGGCGGGACTCGCGTCGACCACTCACCTGTTTGCTGCAGGGAACCCTGTCCATACGGACGTCGTGGCCGGGCAAAGGTGCGGATGGCAGGCCAGTTCGTGGGATTCCTCCGATAGAGCCTCAGTAACATTAAGTCGACTAGTCTATCGAGGCGGCCGGGGTTAGTCGGGTTGTGGGTAAGTTCGCAACACTATCCGAATTAGGGAGCCTTGCTTGCCCCTCTCAATTCTCTTAGCAACTCCCAAATCCAGCCTTGAAGCCCACAATGGAGGAAATTTTTCCTTTTTCCTTCTAGACTCTTGCAGCCATCAAATGCACATTAATAGCCGCATATGCATCTCGAAAACCATTTGCAAATCCAGCCGCCCGACTGACAGACTGCGGAACAGTAAGACAACTCCATCGTATGCATGGAGGGTCCTCAGCCACGGTGAATCCGGCGAGCACAAGGTAACCGAAAGCTAGTGGAGAGTGGAGCGGGGTCGCTAGGTCGGCGCGGCAGTGCCATGACTTGCCATGCCGCCTATTAGGGCCTTCTCACGAGTCGGTGAGTTGATCGATGCCAGTGTCGATTGGTTGTTCTCTCATCGCCTGTACAACCAACTCTCATACCATTCCCAAGAGAGGATCCGTCGCGAAGAGTAGGTTTGCTGATGGCGCAATACTGCAGCAAGCGGGAGATGATCACCTTGCCTCGGAGACTAGTGCTACTCCTCCCTCGAATGAACCGTTGCCGTCCATTCAGCAAGACAAACGTGCCGACGCCGGTTTGTGTAGTTGGAAAAGCTAGCCCAAGATCGATGTCATTATACTTTCTCAACGTCAATGCAGTGAGTGAGGGCGCAGCAAAGCCAGAGACGGACCGTCCCGCGCTCGAGAAGCGAAAGCGGTCGTGGACAAAGCGTGAGTGCCGAAACCGAGCATCGAATGACGTACGTTGCTTCAAATCTAGAAATGGTCTTGGCGTCATGTTACCGCATTGTAGTCTTGAATTGAGTTCAAGTTGAGAACAGACGAAAGACACAACAAGGCTATACAGCACAAATAAGATGGCTTACAGCCAGTGAGAACCGATTTCCACCATGAGACCAAATTGATAGTGCCGTTGAGAAAGATTGCCGCACCTCCCATACGATGGCCACGCGTTCGTCTTCAAAGTCTGATGGGTGCGAAGAAAATAGCGCGTATACGGTGCAAGCCTTGTTGACACCCTAGTTTCCCGGTCAGAGAACAGTCTGTAAGGACCGTCAAAATGATCCAGATAGACGAGTTTGCCAGATTTGATGACGCCTAGATCATCTGGCGGTAAAAGAGTAGCAGACTCGACGTTGCAGCATTGGCGCGCCTCGGCTGGGCTAGGGAACGGCCAAAGACAAACTCTCAAGGTTCCGCCTGCAAACTATGGAGAGCTCCTGAAGCTAACGCCGGTTGCCTCTCATCGTAGTGCGGCTAGGGTGATTTGAGATCGGGGTTCCCCGCGATGGGATGCAAAGCTTGGATGTTGTACGCGACGCGGCAAGTCCCCGAAGCGTAGCAAAGCCAGGATGGCATTGTCACTAAGAATACCTGGAGACTGAAGTCAACATCATGTTTGTGAGGCGTATTGCACAGGGTGGCAACACTTGGCTAGCTGTGTAGTATGCCACTTATGCCTCGGGAAAGTTCTGGTGCCGTCGCAGCCCTTTGTCCTGTTTGCTCTTCGAACTCTTGCAGTTTGCCATGTGCCTCTCTCATCTCCAGGAATGCACAGTCTGGATCGCCGATGATGATGTTGATAGTGTAAGAGTTCGGAATTCCGAGCGCAAGATAATCTCGGACGATTCAGGCTATCTCTTTCAGCACGATGCTCTACTCAGCAAACCCGCGATAATTCGAGATGTTTGGCCGAACAATGCCTAGGCGAAGTTGCTCAACTGCCGATACTGAATGGGGCGACGAGATGTATTTGCGCACAGGTTCCCGATGATAATGGTGGTGTTAACAGTGACAATACGTAGTTGAGAGTTCATCATATGCTGCACCCCTGCTCGCGGAAACTCGACCATGTCGATCTCGTAGGCCGAGGCCCCGGTCCGCGGTCTGCAGGCGATCGTGGAGAAGATATTGAGCAGTGCCAAGATATCGATATACAAGTTGCGATTGGACAACCTGTAGGTAATGTTTGCTATTCGGGAGCAAATGCAGATCTCGGGGAGCTTTATTGCTGAAGACAAACAAGCCGATGGTTCGGAACCAAGGCTCTGGTGAAAGTCGCTAATCTTGCGGAGAGGTTTGCCGTAGCCGCCATCAGAACTCGCAACAAACGTCCGATTAGGAAAGTGAGATATCATCAGAGAGAACTTCTTCATCGCCTAGAATTAGCGCTGTTTGTCTCGTAGAAGTGCCCGTCGGATCTATCATAAGACGCCTCGAGGTGGGCGTCTAGGCTTTTCGAGGCGTTCAACGAGGTGCTGCCATCCCCTCGGATGAACGAAAAGTCGTGCATACTAGGGTGAAAACGACATGGCATCGGCTTGAGGTGATGGACATGGTATTTGCATATACGGGTAACATTGTTCAACGCCGTTGAGGGTGGTCATGCTGAGGTGGCAGGATATCGGCAACGATAATGTGGACGGTTGACGAAAGGGAGGTCTACGATGGGATCGCGAGGGAAGGCATGGAGGATACCTTGGCGTCGGCCAGTGTGGGTCTACTATGCTAAGCGAGGGTGAGGTAGTGTGGAAAGAGCAAACAGCTCACTTGCAGATGCGGTCCTTCTCACTTCGGCTCTTCAATCTCGTCGTGCCTTATCCGATCTCAGCATTCATCATGAGTCTCAACATGAGATCATCTATTGGGCACACCTCATTGATTTCTCACCACTATGCTATTCAACACATCGATCTCATCAGGCAGCAAGGAATTTCGATCGCCGTCATATTCTCACAGCTGTCATGTTTGTGCAAACACGATGATTTCACCATGAATTGATCGTGTCCGGAAATAAGTGCCTCTTCGATGAGTTCTCACTTTGCAACAGGCAGGTGCGTTCGGGCGTTTCATCAATTAACATTACACTCATCAATAGAGCCAGCTGACTCTGAGATAGATCTCCATTCTTCCGCCGCTCACCCTAGCCATCTGCGTGAATCTCATACTGCGGATACTGTGACTGCTCATGTGAAGAGAGACGATTTGGATCTCAAAACACTGCCCGCGGTCATACCGATTTGCCATGTTGGCCTCCCTGGTCGTCTCGCAAGTCGGGGGTCGTATGGAGCCACCTGATTCCACCCGGAGGATCTATCCTCGCCTCGAAAAAGCCTATTCCACGAAAGAGACTCAGTGGCTCTTGCTCTCCTTCTCCTGTCTCTTAGCCGCGACAATGCCATCGAACCTCCAGAAGCCAGGCAGTCCCTCAAAGAACAAACTTCCGATCCATGTCCACCACAAAGTAGTTCCGAATTCGATGCCGTGCCTCTGAAGCCTCGTACGGTGGAACCAATAGCACTCGCTCAGGTGGATTCCCAACACGGGCAGGAAGATGGCCTTGACCAACCACCGATAAAACCTCGGACCGCCGGGGAACGCGGTTTGGAGGAAGGACCAGATCGGCGTACCGGGCAGCACAAACCCAAGCGTGAGCCAGCAGACAAAGTAGAACGCAACGGCCCCAAACACAACCACGTCAAAGCCCTGCGGCGGCGCAAAGTGCCCGACGGTGATGTCGCTGTACCCCAGCGCCTGCTGCGACGCGCGCGCCATCTCCACGACGGCGGGCCGCACGTCCTCCCACGCCGTGAGGGCCGGCTTGAACTCGATGAAGAACTCCTTGCCGCCGAGACCGCCGGCCGCGATGGTCATGCCTTCGAACGTGCAGTCCTTGAGCCACGGCGACGAGGCGGCGGAGCGGCTGAGGCCGGCGTAGTGGCGCAGGTAGAGGGAGAGCTCGCGCTGGTGGTCGCGGTTCATGTGCGTCATGATGCGGTCGCGCGGGGAGGGTGCGGACGAGGGATCTGTGGCGGACGAGCCCATCGCCGCGGCCGAGCCAGATGAGGCCGTTTTTACGTTGCCCTGGCGTGCCATTGCTTCAAATTCCTGATTGGGTACCGGTAGGTGGGAGACTGACTTGGCGTGTGGTGCGACAGAGAGTTCCGATGAGTAGATACGAATATTCGTATTGCTGCGTTGGACCAAGGTTTGATCCTTCACGGGTTCCTGGATTCTGGACCGCCCGCTAGATTTGCAACGAAGCTTAAAAAGTAATATCGAAAAGCTCCGTTCGAGAGAATTGGGGTGAGTGCGGGAGACTCGGGGGGAAATAGGTGTTAGGAAAAGGGGCCTGTGAGGTTGGTCATTGAGTTGGAAGAAGAAACATTGAAACCAACGGCCAGGAACCAACAAAATTGCGGTAAATGGTCTGTGCGATCCTTGTCCTTTACAGACGTGGTTCGGTGTTCACTTCTCCACCGTCTGTCCGGTACCGTTGGCTTTCGCCTTATGTCAGCGGTAAATGCGCATGGCCCCCTACGGACTCGGCTTCAGGATTTTCTTCTTTTGATAGAGCGACGATGTCCAGTGCAACGTCAAAGTTGAACCAACAGGTTGGACCGATAATTTGGAACCGAAAGAGATAAGAAAGCGGTGCTGTCGCTCTGACAGCTGTCAAACTATCTGGTCTAGTGGGATGGCCGAGAACAGGGGCGCTGGAATGAACAGAACACGTTCACAGGTTTCAGGCCAGCCCTCGGATACGAATACCGTTTTTGTGCCTCGCTCTCGGAACCTCAAGAAGCTTTATGTTCCGATTCTGTGGGCCATGTCACCGACTGCACTGCTCGGAAAGGTATCACTGTCTCAAGTAGAGGTTGGGACCTCGCGCCAGAGTAATAACGTCGATCCGTGTTGAACGTCAATGCCAGATAGCCTGAACAGTCTTTGGGTGATTGAAAGCTTGCTCGAACGGTCGATGGCGTCGCATCGCGGGCTTGACAATGGCCAATGTGCCCAGTCTGCTTCAAAGGGGAAAATAATTTGGAGATGAAGTAGAATAATGACCTACCAAGTTTGCCAAGACTATGCTAGGGCTGCGAGAGAACTCAAATGTAGAAGTAGATCATGCCTTTCGGATTAAGTCTCCGAGAGGCTTGGAGCCGGTCCGGCCCTTAATGTGGGTCCGGATGGTGGAGTGCGGGGTAACCGTGAACCAAAAGCCGGTCCGGTCCCGGATCTTACGCCGTTCAAATGCGCCGTCGCCGCCGGGACGATATAGCCCAGTTGCTATTGAGACTGGTTTGCCCATACTATTTCCTCGGAAAGCTGCGGAACGCAATCGAATTGTACGCTTCCCCCGTCTCATAGCAGCGTTGAACAGCAACACTGGCAGCCTGGCAGAGATAAGCCTCTCAGCGTCCCACCTCAAGCCCATTTCACCAGGTAAGTGCGAATGAATGTACGAACAGACATAAAGTCCCGCTGGTTTCCTGCTTATTCAGTTTCCTTCACGCAAGACCGCGGCCTGCGGAATGGCATCGGACAAAGCCCGCGTCCTCCTCGTCGGATGTGGAGGCATCGGCACGATCGCCGCTCTCAACCTCGAATCCGGAGGATTAGCTCAAGTCACCGCTGTCCTCCGTTCCAACTTTGATATCGTGAACCGCAATGGTTTCACTATTCATTCTTGCGAACACGGAGATAAGGAAGGCTGGCGACCTACAGAGGGTCAGTTCCGGTAACCCCGCTTCCTTCTCGCAATGTCGCTCATCATAGTCGTAATATCCTCAGTTTTGAATACTGTCCCGGCTTCAGCAAACTCAGGCTTTAATGGCTCATTCGATTACGTCGTTTGCTGCACCAAAAACGTCCCAGACGCCGGTCCAAGTCTCCCAGACACCATCGCTCCAGCTGTCACTCCAGGCCAGACGGTCATCGTACTCATCCAAAACGGTATCAATATCGAGCGTCCCTTCTTCAGACACTTCAAGAAAAACATCGTATTATCTGGCGTAAGCCGCATCGATGCACACGAACATTCTCCAGGCTTCATCGAACAGAAGCAGGCCGACCTCCTCCACATCAGCCCTTTCTTCAACGCCTATCGCGAATGGCCAGAGCACGAAGAAGCCGCCCAACGCTTCGTCGAAATTTACAGCGCGGGAGGCAAGACAACGTGCCTCTACAAAGAAGATGTCGGACTCGACCGGTGGAGCAAGCTCGTCTACAACGCGTCATTCAACCCCATCTGTGCTTTGACGAGGGTGAACGTCAGTCAGCTGCAGACGTCGAGCGGGTCGATGGACTCTCTGGTCATCCCAGCCATGAAAGAGGTGATAAAAGTAGCCGCGGCTATGGGCCATGATATCCCGTCAGTCGCCATTACGCAGGCCATGCAGATGAATCCAATTGATGAGAATATCAAACCCAGTATGCAAGTCGACTTTGACAAGGTAAGACACTCTGCCGTGCTTTCGATTAGGTCTGGCTATATTCACTGACCTTCTTAGGGAAACCTGATTGAGCACGAAAACATTCTGGGGGAAGTTTGCCGAGTCGCATATCAGCGAGGCGTGGCAACGCCCATCTTGGAGGTGCTCTATCAGCTCTGTTGTGCTCGTCAATCCAGTGTCAAGAGGGACCGCGGCTTAGCATGAGCATGATACGATCTTTCTGGTACTCAAGCTGTTTTGCATCGTCACCAGATGATCAATGGTGTTAATTTCAGCAGCGTACTCTAAGGAAGTCACATTCTTGAATGTAGATGTGTGACCGAGATGTCCTATGAGAACTCGGTCAACGCCTGTGTGCCAACTACAATGTGCTTTCTAGAACCAATCCATTTCAGATGATAGCCCCGTTTTAATAAGGCTATTGATTCTCTACCCTTTGCCGCATATACAACAACAATCTTCGTTGACCCAAATTTCGAGGGGCAAATGCGGAAACACTGCAATCAACAGCAGCCCCTTCTTGTACAGTTGCGGACATGCGAGTACTTGAAGCGGTAGATGTGCCTGTCGTGTTTGACTATCCACAAGATCCAGTGAGAAATTTGAGAACGCAGACCGCAATAGTTGGGATTGTTGCGAAGGCGTTGACCCGAAGTGACGGAGTCATCCTCCAACTTCCTCTCTTGGTATAACATTGCGGATCCCCCAAAGTATTCATCTGATTCATGTACGTTACATCCATCTCACTCCATGTTCAAATACACCGAATGGCCTCCAGCTTTCTGCGCCGGCATGTAAAGGCATAGCCACCACTGGGCCACAACGCTGACTCAAGATCACTCATCCCAGCGGTCAACCCTCAACTCGTCAGATTGCAGAGCAGACACCACAAAATCATTCTACGAACCACAACGGCTCTCCTACTTACTGCGCAATCAAAGGTTTCCAGTGTCATAAGACAAGCTAGACCAGACCAACCAAACACCACCACATTCCTCCGAGCCGAGCCCATCCCCCAAAGCTACCTCCGGCGTCTCACACATCCCGTCATATGAGACGCAAAAAAACAAGCTTGTTCAACGGGAACGGCAAACAAGCTTCTTCTCTACATCTTTCCCCCGCCCGTCCTCTCCCTCCGCAATCACAAGTCGCCCCATCAAACACGGCGACGGAAGCCGGGTGGGCAAAGTCTCCCTCGGAGCCGGATTATGCCCTTACCCATCAACCAATCCCATTCCTTCCCACGGAAGTTAGGAAAATCAGGCCATTGTTAGAACGAGCTATGAGCTATCTTATCTCCGCCTCGATCCGGCTGACCCTTGCGACCCCGCACGCGGTCTTGCGAGAGACCGTTGGAGTGATGAGACAAGTCCCCTGTTGTGGAGTATGGAAGACCCTAGGTGAACGAACGCCTTTTTGGCAAGTAGATCGTCGTCTAATCGTCGGACTCGAGTCGGTCTTCTGTTCGATATGCCTTTGCCTGTGGCCTGCGAGCCATCTAGTCTGTTCATAGTAAATCATATTCTGAGGTTACCTGGTCAAATTTGCACCTTGGGAGCGGTTTGAACATTGATTATACTGACAATTAACTTGATATCACTTTTTGACCATGTCCGTATTCGTGTAGATAGTTGCCCTCGATTAACCCAACGCCTTGCGATGCAATGGTATCATCAATCTCCTAATGCTGACCCCGATGCCCCAGTACCTGTTCAAATAAAAGAAAAAAGGAACAGTTGCCAAAGTCAAGTCCCTCAGCCCGACTCGTGTGTGCGTGTGCGCGTGTGTGCTTCAGCGTCCCAACCGACGGTCTCAGAACGTCTTCCCATTCGCGTCGTGAATAGTCGTCGTCGTTCTCACATGAATCCCAGACTCAATAGAGCTCCTCCTCGTCACCGACACTCCATCATGGTACCGGATCTGCGTCCTGACCTCGCCCCGCACCTTGTCGCCCAGCTCCAGCTCACTCTCATTCGGTTCTACAGTCGTCGACCGGAACGAGAAGAACTTTCTCCTCTTCTCCGCCATCCTCCTTGCGGCCCTCGCTTCGCTCGCAGCAAAATTCACGTCGGCGATCTCTTCGTCTCCATCATTCATCGCGTTGTCGTCGCCGTCGCCGTCTCCATCTTCTGCCGACTTGATGGCGTATGTCATCCGGGATGAGGCGTTGGAAGCCTTCTTCGGCGCCGAGTTGGCATCCGCCGTGCCGATCGTGCTGAACATCTTGGGCCAGCCGCGCTTCAGTAGCATCCGGAGGGCGGGCAGGCAGACGACGATCATGGACACGGACGCCTCGAGACCGGACCAGATGAGGGGGTCCGTGAAGTCCCACGTCGGGTTGAGCGACCGCGTGAATGAGACGATGTATCGAAGGCGGATGCATGAGGTGATGAGGACGAAGATGCCGAGACTGAACATGAATAAGATGCCCATCTTGGAGCGTTTCGACGTGTTGAGGTGCCACAGGAGCGGAAGGGGCAAGGCGAGAATGATGAGGTCGTGGCTGATGCTCAGCCCGCCAGCCACAAAGGCTAGTGCGTTGATGTCCAGGCAGTGGTGCGGACCGAAATCTCCTTTCCAGCCAAGCCAGTTGTAATCAAAGGGGATGCACTGGAAAATCTGCATAAACAAAACCACCGTGGTCGATATTATGATGTATATCATGGTCGCGTACGTTGCCCATCGGAAGGACTTGTTCGGGAAGATTCTGAGGTAGAAGAAGAGTACTGAGATCTTGGTTAGACCTAGGCAGGCGAGGTAAAAACTTTCGTCGATGAAGAAGAGCTGCTACAGTCAGCATCTGGTAGATTGTTCGTAGGCGACGATTTTTCTAACCTTTAAGCCCAATGTGAGTTCATCTGGTTCGACCATCCAGATATCTTCTCCAAAGGCAACATGGCCAGCTGGGTGGTCGTTAGTAAAGCCCATAGGCTCCGAACAGATGCTAGACTTACCAAGTTGTCCAACGACGACGAAAACGACAAACATGGCCTATATCCCGTTAGAATATGAGTTGTCAAGATTCCCTCAGAGATCCAACGTACGCCGCAGAACATCATGATCCAATCGTCGGCCTCGAATCGATGCATCGTCGTCCATCTCGCGTATAATCGTAACGGGACCACCAGTATCCCGGTAATCTGAAGGATGAGTGGCACCATGATGTCCACCTTTCGCTCACGAACCGGACGTTTGCATGCTTCAGCTTCTATCCTTGCAAAGTCTGAATGACTGTCAGTTCATCCATTGCAGCTGCGGTTATTAGGCGAGGAAGCCGTACCTATGGCTTCTAGTTTCTTGCACCGCTGGACGAGACATGTTTGCACGCTCAACCGCAGGTCATGATCACTGCATATGCAAGTATCATTTGTCGCAACCTTACAAGCCGATAGTGGTAACTTTTCGAGTGTACATTCCAGCTAAATGATGGGAATGATGTCAGTCAGGTCTCATAGATCCAAGAGATGGAAAGGAAAACCCACCCCACATTGGGGCAGCATAGCTGCGAACTCCAATAAGGAACCTTGAACAGCACCAAAGAAGGCGACCGCGACGCCGAGCAGTAATGATTGCCTCATGGCGAACGATGCTGATGATGATGATGATGATGATGATGATGATGTCTGAGAAGGCAGTAAAGAAAGGAAAGACGGGAAGGGGCAGAAGAAGTCTCGCCGTGACCAGGACGAATCTGCCTCAAATATTTTGACGGACAACCACAGACGTTTGTCATTTCATCCAGGATTGATCGGGGTGACGGCCAACGTGGGAAGGACATCTGCGATATAAACCAGTGTGTGGGCTGCCGTCCGAGCAGGCACCACTTCTTCAGGGGAACCATACGGGAAAAGCCAATGGCAAGGGCAAACTCTAAGGTAGGTTGGGCACATCCGGTCCTAGTGCGTTAAGTAGCTCGGTGCCTATCAAATCCCAGTGAGCAAGCCCCTCTAGGTATACCAAGACAGTCCGGCCGGGGGGAGGAGGGTACGGGTAACGGGCTCGAGAGTCAACAACAACATCCTACATACCTACCTCACTTGCTTACTTTCTCACCTACTTGGCCCTGCGGAGCCGTTCACCAACAACCCGGTCTGCGAAACCTCCAACAACCTTACCCGGATGAAGCCTTAACACGCGCATGGGGGAACTGGAAGTGGATGCCGCTTGTCATGGATCAGGGGTCTCTTCCCATCGAACTCTCAGGAGCGACTTAGCAAGTCCGTGATACCTTATTGCGCGTGTGTGACTGGTCAACGGGCCCAGTCTGTGGCTGCGGGGCCAAGGATCTATGGGACAGACAATCGAACCTCGTGGCAGTGGATCCTGCGTCCATACGTTTGGTCGGTGGTGACTTGCGTGAGGTGGTGAGGTTGTTCTGGGCGGCGACGGTTTCGTGCATGTCCAGTCGCACCGGGGGTCACGGTAAGTGCTCCAGGGTCCAGTTCCTCTTGAAACTCCTGGATTTCCATCCATCGGCTATCGTCTTGCCGCGAAGGAGCAGGAACAGGAAACTTGCCGCAAAGATGAAAAGCCAGCCGGTGGGATAAGATTACCCCCCCTCTGCCTTTGAGAAACACTTCAGAAAGCCACTATGCCCGCCCGCCGACCTGAAGAGAGAGAGCCAAGTCATTGTGCTCTGTGGCTGGACTGATTCATGTTTGCCTTTTGGCACGGCAGGCTTGCCTAGTTTCATCGGATTTGCGGAGAGAAAGTTGAGCAACACGGACAACTCCATGAGCCAAGAGAAGAGAAACACGAATGTCCAAGCGGTATCCGCAATGTTGACACATTGAGTAACTGTTTCCCCCTCTTGAGTCCAACGGGAGGCTTTTGTTACACGATGGCAAGCTGGATACGAAACAGTGGTACAGAGACGGCTTCCAACTTGCCAAAAGTGCCCCGTAAGCATGTCAAATAGCAGTATGCCGTTGCAGGTAACGCTTCTTTTCGTGCTTCGGTTGTTCCGACGGGAGAATTGTCTTGAGGTGAAGGGGGAATGTCTCCTCCAGAATTATGTCGCTATCCACGCTCGCGGTTACATGCATGCCTTTCCGCCCACGGGGGGGAAACTCATAGCACCGGTCTCATCCGTCGCGGGGGAAAATCTCCAGTCGGCACTTGTCGTAGCATACGGTTGCAATCTGGACTGTGACCTGGAGAGCTCCAGTGGTGACGTCGAAGAATGCTTCAAGAGCAGGGGATTCGGGCGTATCTGGCGGTGGCTCAATGACAGCCACCGGGCGCAGAATCGGCCTTGAAGAATATGTGCAAAGTATTTCTTGCGTAAACTGGCAAATTCATTCCATAGACGTTCCACGACGGATCAAGGACTAGATTCCCTCGTGTTGTTAGTGAGGCGCCGCTCCCCCATCTCCTGGCGCTAGTACGCAAGCGCGACGACGGTTCTAGCTGGAGACACTAAGACGACATTGTGCTCTGCAGTCTCATCATTTATGGCTCAATGAGTGGCTGGCGTGGAACTTTGTTGGCATCGGCCGGCGAGTCGGCGCAGTTGGGCAGACTGAATGAGTTTGGGACAAGTTAGTAGGCACGATTGAAAAGCATGTCAACGCAGATAGTTCACGATTGTAGTCTCGAGCTCGGCCTGCGTCTAGAAGAACTACCACGATTCAGATGCAACTCCTAGACGAAGAATCTATTTAAATCAGGGTGTTTTTGACGCTTCGATAACCTTGAGTCATCGTAAGACACGGGGGCCCTTCCTGTTGACTCACTTCTAGGGTCTGCTCTGGTGCAGCTCCAGTGCCGAATGAACTCCCGCTTCTCGTTGTTCTATGACCATGTCACGCATGTGTGCATCGATCGTCTCAGGGCCATAATCAAATCATGAGACGGGTGATGCTGCGGGTAGTGTGCATCTCCCGTCGGCCGAAATAGTTGCGGATCGGCCAACCCTTAGTGAATCTTGAGATGGACCGTGGAATCATGATGCCCTCGTTGCCGGACATTATGTATCTTCCGGAGGCCCGTTGGTTCACACTGCTCGCTGACGGGCCTGTTGAACTGACATCTTAGTAGGTGCAGAATACAACGAGTCGCCTCCCTCTCGCGGTCCAGGCAAGGTGACAAACCAGATTGATCTAGACCGATAGTAGGATTACATAGATTGATTGCGTGACTACATACGCCCGCCATCCTTTCGTTTCGGTGACGAAGCTTGCTGCTCAAATACCGCGAGGCGCGAGCTTGCAGCAGACCGCGACGCCGTTGGCGACAGCCTGGCTGTACAATATGGGCAAAATGGGATCGCCGAGAAGTTGGCCTGCGGTGAAGAGGCTGTCGAGGTGTCACAAACAATCACATTCCCAAGCCTCAAAGATGTCTCAAGTTTGCCGTCGGCCCACCAGCCTCCGAAAGCCCGTGGCGCAACCGGGTAGGCATTTCCAAACACTGATCCATCGTCCATCGAAATCTGCTTCCCCATCATCATCCCCTCGGCTCGGCCTGGGACACTAGAGCGCCGACTGCTTCAGCTGAGCATCTCTGGCGAGTACCACATGCGTCAAGTGCACCCCAGACATCGATCTCATTGATTTCATCGGTGTCGGCTCCCACACTTTATGCTTAACTTCCATCATGTGGCTTGCTCTAAGATAGCCATCCGCTGTCCGTCTGGGGTATCCCGCGCAGCGATTCTTTGTTGGTCCTCGGGAGATGGTCTAGGAGTTTTCATGCCGAGCCGGGAACGTCTGTCATCATCAGATGGTCTAGTAGCTCAAATCGCAGGGCATATCGAGTGCTTATAATCGAAATGGTACCAAGTTGCATCAATGTGGATCGAAATGTTGATTTCACACAACCTCGATCGAGTTGATAGCGCTCGTGGGAGTTGGAGATGCCGACTGAGGCGAAGAAGATGGTAGACTTGGACTGCTTCGCATCAGGCAAGACGTCCCAACCCTTCGTGCGTCCCAGCTGATCTTGCGGCCGTTACTTGGACGATCCCATATGCGAGCTCGTGGGGTGACCTTAGCCAGGGCATCCGGACAACGCTACTGGACAGCTTGCGGGATGTACTGAGGTTGGGAATTGGCGTCATAAAGAGTACCATTCCCGTCGTATGGGGTCGGCTGGTTGTGGAAGACCCATTGAAGACGAGTACGCTCCAAAATTGGGAGTCCACTGGACCCGTTGAGAGCAAGATTCGGGGGTGGATAGGGACGGAACTTGCTCGCATCCCCATTAAGCGGTCCAAAATACGATTCCGAATTGTTCACTGAGGCCATATTGGGTGGATCTTTGTTCGGTACAAGCACTCTGCTACCGAGGTCTTGCACGAACTGGAAGATGTTGGCCCCAACATCATACCGGCCTAGGTTTGGCGTCTCCCAGTTGAACTGAACTGTCGACAACATTGAGTAATGCGTATAAAAGGTCTTGTCTTCCGTCCCCTTTCTGTCCTCGGGGAGCGCGCTGCCCAAGAGCAGTGACGCAATCTTGTTTGGTTTTCCGTGATCTTCAGACTCGTCGTAGGTAAGTTGGATGAGCGTGCGCTCTTTGAAGGCGCCAGGGACTAGCATTGGCTTCAGGAAATCCTGTGCCCACTTTGTCGCATACTCTAGAGACGTGTTGTGGCCATCGTTCATTTGGTTGGGAGACATGAATACCCATTGGGGCACCTTTTTCTTCTCGAAGTCCGTCTTGAAGTCGTCAAACCCTTCGATATTGAGCAGGCGGGATCCGTTCAGGTTGATGGAGTCAAATGACACAAAGGGGCTGATAGGATATTAGCATCGGCGGATCCAGCAAGACCCTGGGCAAACCAACTTATGTTTCCGTACATAGTCCCACTTCCCATCACCTGTTTGCCCGTCGCTGGCAGCCGCCAAGTAGCCTGGGCCGGGGATGTCTTCCATGTACGCTTTCCATGACAGACCCCTCCAGTCGAGAAGATCCACGATGGTCGATATGTTTAACGGGAGTCGGACCGGTTCGTCGTGGTTTAGACCAAAGTAGTCTCCAGCGAGTGCTGCAATATAGTTGGCCTGGCTGGGGTGGGTATGCGCGTAGTAGTTGGTGAGCAAAATCCCGTCCTTCTTGAGATCAGCGATGTGGGAATCTTTAACGACTTTGGCAAAATCCTGTTGGGCAATCAACGTTAGCGAATGGAGTCGGCCATCAAGGGATGTGGGCATACGCGCCTGGTTTTCCAGCCAGATGGAGATAAACCGATCGAAGCCCCTGCCGGGGATGTGAAAGGCTCCGACGATCGCCAGCAATCCGGTCAGAGAAAAGAAAGAAAGAAGCATCGTACAAAGTCCGTTAAACACCGCTACTGCATCGCAATTGTCAATCGGCAACCTCGAAGAATGGAACGTCAATAATCGGGTGGTTTATTTTGTCAAAAAGCCACGATTGTTCGTGACGAGAAACAAAACAACCAAACTATCGCCACGGGCTCGCATCCGCCCCGGTTCACGTCTCAGCGTGCTACAATACACCGGGGCCATGGCGGCTGTGTGTCGCGCAGTTAAGCAAGCATTCCGTGCAGTGTTTGACGTCGATCTCCTTGAAACGCTTGAACGCCTCCATGTGGCACATTAGCTCAACGTCGGCCCATGCACCGATCTCGGAGCAATGATCCGTGGTGACAGGGATGTCTTGATCTGATAAAAATTCTGGTGGGTTGAAGAAAATCGCCGCGAGGATTGAAGGTTGCGGTTGCGTAGCCGCTGCGTGGACGATCGCGCGATGTAGTGCAGAGTCCGCAGGTCTGCAAAAGCTTTCTGGGCCTTTTGGTGTGGGGTGTCCGTTCGTGTCGACTGGAGCGGATGGGATCCCCAATCTGCAAGGGAACGTGAATGGCCTCGACTCGCTGCAGCTGGAAAGGGTTTTCTCCACAAGTGTTCAACGACTGGCCCGCATGGCTGGGCCCCGGTCCCATGTCTTGAACAGGAAGAATCCTCCAAAGTCGAGAGTCGGGGACATTCACGAGACTGGATGGAGGTGTTCGGGATTCGGGACCCGACAACAACGTTGTCCGTTGAAGCTGGGGAGTCCATTGTTTGACACTTTCCCCGTTGAGATGCGTCGTTGCCAGCAACTTCCATGCTTGTCAAGTTGTCATGTTTGACAGGTTTAGTGTTTTGTGACCTGTCAAACTAGTTCGTCGTTTCCCGCCGCTCTCCTCTGTAGCGCGGCCTCCTATGGAATCTCCAGCTCATGCAGGTTGAATATGCCTCGTTGTGTTGCAGTCAAGAACGTACTCCGTAGACAACCTTGAACCGGATATTTTGACCTGATGAAAGAGGTTGGCGCCAAGGCATTCCCGAGGAATTGAATGACAAAAAAGATCCATTGATGGAGATGGCCCATCGCGAAGACCGGGTTCGTCGGCAGGACTAGTGGCAGTCGGTGTGGCACAGCCCTGACTTCTGCATGGTCCGCCAGTACGGATAGAGCAGGTATTCCTGGAAATGTTCTGACGACATTAGAGGCTTTTTTTTTGGGAGGATACAACGGTGACTCGCGTGGCATTGACGGCCCCCTTTTACCGCTCAATGGCGTGTGTCACGAGACCTCGTTTGTCCAGTACAGATTGACTTTGCTCAGCCTAACCAAGCCGCATTCTTGTCGCGTATTCTGATCTTTTTCTGCATATTTTCATATGCGTCATGCTCGTCTCTCTCCGTGGTCTGCCACAGTATACTTGTGAAGTCAGAGCCAGCAGGTGGATAGGGACGGTCGGTGTAATTCTCGTGATCGTGGACCGCCGTGAACATCTGCGTGGATGATCGAAGATGGAGGGCTTGTCGTTCTAGGTAAAAGATGGTGGGAACAACGCGTCTTGCGTCGGCTCATCCCCATGTTCGGTCGGCTTGTGGGTTGCAGCTGTGGTGGGTGCTAGTGAACAGAATTTTTATCTGATCTTGATCCCTGCCGTGTGAGTCAAGAATGGGGACCTTTGAGAGGGGAAGGGCCGATCTAATCTTATCAGATGCCCCATATTTGGCTGCCATAAAAGTGGGAATCATCGCTCGGAGGGGCTCGGTTATACCACCTCGGCGCTCGGAACAGTCGGTCTTATGTAAGCTTTCTCTCCAACTCTTAACACCTTTCAATACAGTTTTGGTAGTAAACTGCTAAGACACTGACGACGCTCGCTCGGCGGTAGCTCGCGCTGACTGACAGGGGGAAGTTTCTTCCCTTGGATTTCGAGTACATCTTGACAGCAAGCGGCAGGTGAAATGTGCCCACTCCGGACCGGAGGCTGATCCATTTGTCACTCGGTACTGATTGATATAACCGTGGCCGTGGCCTGTGTCTTGCGCGCGGTACATTTTCCCTTCGTTTTTGATCATCTTCGCCTCCCGCGCTACAAGATCGAGCCGCATCACCACCACCATGAATTCCGCCAACGATACAACGTCTCCCTCAGTGGATGACGGTGGGAGTCTTTCTCCCGCCAACTCACGCGAAGACGATGAGAACTCACAGCACCCCCGCAAGCGCCAACGCGTGCGTCTTAGCTGCTTGGAGTGCCGCCGGAGGAAGCTCTCCTGCGATAGAGGCTACCCGTGCCAGCGGTGTCTGAAGAGCGGCACACCGGATCGCTGCACGTATGAGACCAAGTCAGGTGCTGTATTGAACGCCAGCTCTGGCGTTCCGCCTGCCTTTGCCCAGCTCGACTCACGGAGGAATGGCGAGCTGGCTGTTCCCGTCAAGGAAGCCGATGTTTCTCTTATCCGCGAGGCGGCCAAGGATCATGACCGTATCCGCCGTCTCGAGCTCGAAGTCGCTCAGCTCAAGACTCAACTCACACGACAGGCTATGTCTTCATTTGACGGAAGCACAATAGCCGGCACCAACTCACCACTCACTCAGAAGGATGAAACCAATGAAGCGCCTGCCGACCCTTGCGCAAACAACTCAGAGATTCAGTCATGCTGGCATCAGTATGGTGATGGGGACAAGTCAGAGCTCCGCTTTTTCAGGGGCAAGGAATTCAGAACGCGGTATTTTGGTCCTCACAACGCCACAATGGCTTTCATCGAGGTAGGTCTCTCACGCTCATATGAGCCCTTTTTCATCCTTATGAAGAATTCTCATCTGACTGCCTTACAGTTGACTGGTCTGTGCCCCTTCATGAAGGAGACGGCAGATGAGTGGCTGAAGCCCGTGAAGGCCCATGACCGCAAGGACCGCAAGAAGCGCAAGGATGACAGAGACAAGTTCTACCTTCAGCCTGACTCCACGCTCGAAGCTCTCCTACCACCAAAGGAGCACTGCGATGCCTTACTCGAAGTCTACATCGACCAGTTCGAGCAAATGCACCGCATCATTCACATTCCCACCTTCCGCAGAGAGTACTCAGAGTTCTGGGAGAACCCAACCGAATCTCGCTATGCAGCACTCACCGCTCTTGTCCTTTCCATCTGCGCGGTAGCAAACTGCATCCACACTCACGAGTCTCTGAGATTCACCGGAATGATTTCCAACGCCCAAAATGCCGCTGAAAAGTGGATCAAGGCCGTTGAGAATTGGCAAGATCATCAGAGTGTGAAGCACCGAAAGCTCATCCACTACCAAATTGCATGCCTCCTGTATCTCGCCAAGCGGGTCAATACCGTTAAGAAGAAGCGCTTCTGGACGAACTCTGGCGCTCTCATTCAGGACGGCATCTCTGTCGGACTGCACCGGGAACCCGGCCACATGGGGTCCGGCAAGATTTCAGTCTACAACCAGGAGATGAGACGGAGGATCTGGGCGACGGTGCAGGAGTTTGACATGCAAGCCTCTTTCGACCACGGACTGCCTACGCTGGTGAGCCAGTTACACTACGATGTGCAGCCACCAAGGAATTTGGACGACGAGGACTTTGACGAAGACACTACGCAGCTCCCGCCTTCCAAGTACGGCAAGGAGTACACTTTCTCCTCCTACCAGAATCTGGCCCGCCAGAGTCTGCCGCTGCGCATGGAGTTGAGCCGCCTTCTCTGTGGCCCGCCGGGAGACCTCGACTACGACCAAGTCATCCGTTACACCAACGACATCACTCACGAAATCGACTCGCTTCCCTCCTGGGAGCACAACAACAACAACACACACGGCGGCAAGAGACCACTTCTTGCCTACACTCTGCTCCACATCCAACTCCGTCAATACATCGTTCCCCTCCACCAACCATTCCTCAAGCTTCGTAAATCCAACGCCAAGTACCAGTACTCCGAGATCATCTACTACAATGCCGCGCGAGACATTGTTCTCCTCCACGACAAGCTCTACGAGCAAGGCATCCGCAGCCTCAACTTCCTCCGCGAGGACGCGCTGACCACGGCCGTCAACCTCTGCAGCGTCACGATGCTGCAGCCGCGGGGCTCGACAAACATGATTATGATCAACTCGCAACACACCGTCAAACTCCTCGAGAAATGCCTCCACATGAAGGAAGACAGGATTCTCCGCTGCGGCAACAACGAGCCCTGGGGCTACTCCATCATGTGCTCAGCACTCGGCCTTCTCGAAGCCCACCTGGGCACAAAGACCACCGAACAAGCAAAGGCATCGTCTGCGGAACGGTTCGTCAACTTGCACTACAAGCTGCTGGCGAACCAGGAACCCCCGGTATCGAGTCAGCCATCAGAGCTGTCCAAGATTCCCGGATTGGAGGTTCCCGAGAGACCAAAGGTAAGCAATCCCGCCCATCCGTTGTCGTCCTTGTCGTCGTTCAGAACCGAACAGTGGCTGACTCGTTCCCCTCAGTCGGTTACGCCCTTCTCCTTCCAGGGCTACCCGTCGTCGCAGAACGCGATGGACGGGCTCCTGCCTCAACCCCTGCCGTGGATGCCACCATCAATTGATCCGCAGGTGAGTCTTCACGACTTCTCCCCAGCACTCCCAGCCCTCGTCGCTGACAGCGTGTTGGCAAAGGCGCAATCCTACAATCCCGACTTTAATCTTGAAGCACTGGGATTGAATTTGAACGAGTTGTGGGGAGAATCGTGGGACTTTAGCTGATGTATGCGATGTTTGTGATGTCATTTTGATGTGTTTCTTGGTTACTCAAAAGAAAAGCGAACTAGGGCGGGTTGTTTGATCTGGGCAAATTGCCCTTGACCTGTATTTTGGAGGGTGATGATTTGTCACGGACAGTTGTTACGATGTTCGGAAAGCTTTGTGATACCCATCTCAATTCCTCTCTCTCTCTCTTTAGATCTAGACGTGTAATATACATACAATCATGTCGGTCTTGACTCACGATCTGAACATGAGGCCTTTCAAAGTTTTTCGGTGAGCTGTTGTCCTTCTCTTTTCGTCTTGGCTCGAGATACATACCCTCTTCCTCAAGATGATCCATCCGGGTTAGCAGAGACACTTTTTGTTACCGCAATCTCGCCTCACCCAAGCTTCATCCCCCTCATCAAAGCCCACCGGAAGCACCCCGAAAACCCGCCGTTTCGGTAGGGCCCGAGGACCATGACTCGAGCAGATTAGAATATTGGGCAACACGACGCCTGGACCACATCTAATAAGTCACCGGACCAGGACCAACTCATCTTCTCAGCAAAAGACCCTATGGTCCCCTCCGAATCCCCGATAACTTCCAGTCGTCTTCAATTGCCATGTGGAACTCCAAAGCTTGTCCGAGGCTTTAAAGAGAAGAGACATCCTACATTCCCAATCGACCCGCCATCGCGGCTCCACCTATACGATCTGTCGACATATATCCCTCGCTGCCACGAGTCGTTGTCCGACAAACCTCGTCGGGTACGGCGAGTTCCCAGCGTCTGTCGAAACCGTTGTAAAACGGTCAATCATTCAGCGCAGTACTACGGCTCGCTGAGTCGCCAGAGGCAACCCAGCTTCCCTCTGTTCTGGCCTGCTGAGATCATCGCACAAGTGGCGAAATCTTTCTCCGCAAGGCGCATAACGTTACCCGCGTATTGCGGCTGAGGCAGACGGGCTGGGCTTAAGCGACGTTCATGCCATTCGTCAATTATCGTCATTGTCGATATGCGAAGTCATCGATATTGTCATCAATAAATATTCAACTGTTCTCGATCCATCCCACTCGGCCGAGCCAAGTAACGAGTTCCCCTCAGCCGGAAGAAACGTGGACTCATTTTACTCCACAACTCTCAACTCAATATCATTATCGGCGTGGATTTTCCGGTCACCGCCAAAGCGTTGTTCCCAAGAAAACTCCCAAGAGGCATTGATGGCACTTGACGTCTCGAGCGGGGGTGGAAAAGTGACTGGAGGGGATTATCGAGGTTCATGGTCTCCCACTGGCGGCGGACAAGATGCCAGATCCAGGAACCATGACAGGGATCAGCTCGGCACCTTTCAAGTGTGGCTCTGTAACGCTACAGGACCACCCCTCCCCTGTTTCTTCAGTTTCCCTCCAACCACCTTCTCCTTTGCGGTCCCCAACGGGCAGCTGGCCGTAGTGGTTCCCTAACTCCACAATATCGACCGTTTGTCTCTTTCAAGGGTCCTGTTATAGAGAACGGTAGAACCTGAAGCTGTGAGGGGCTCGGGCTACTAGCACCGGCACGCGGCATTTGTCCCTTGTCCTTACAGACCTCACATGGCCCAATTACGTCGCAATGCCATGCCACGGGCGGGGTCAAGAGGTCGTAGACTCGAATGATTTACCATCTAGCATCTAGAGGGGGGGCGCCGTAGCCTCGGAGATGATGAGCTTTGTGGGATATTGACTCGTTCGCCCTGGTACTGTGGCCCCTTGCTGACACCCTCTTTCTTGCCCGCGTGGATGGATGGCTTGTCGTGAGAGGACCAAGAAGACACGAGAGTCGTCCGGGGGAACCTATAAGATGCAAGACGACGCTGATCGGACGCAGGAACAAGGCATGGTCTATCACAACATCCAAGTTTTGCCAGTCTTCTTTTCCCCTTGGCCGAGTCAGATTCCCCACGTCACAGCCGTCATCTGCAGTCGTGACAGTTTCAGACATCGGATACACATATTTAGAGACGATCTCCCGGTTCATCTGAGAGGCACTTATCTAGTACCCCTTCACCTCACATCTCTCTCGCCGCCTCTTCACACCTAATCACACCTCCCGTTCACAATGGCGCCTTCCCTCTTCCGTCTCGCTGCGTGGCTCGCTGCCGCTGCCGGCTCCGTCACCGCCGCTCCCCTTGAACGCCGCGCCGTCATCGACCACGATGCCGTCGTTGGCTTCCCCGAGACCGTCCCCTCAGGCACCGTCGGCACCTTGTACCTCAAGTACAAGCCCTACCTGAAGGTCGTCAACGGCTGCGTGCCCTTCCCTGCCGTGAACGCCGCAGGTGACACTGGGTAAGCTCATCTCACTCACTTGAGAAGCATCCCACTTTGTTCTCTTCCCTAACCCCCAATCCACAGCGGCGGCCTCGCCACATCCGGCTCTTCAAACGGGGATTGCTCCTCCAGCACCGGCCAAGTCTACGCCCGTGGCGGCTCCTACAACGGCGCCTACGCCATCATGTACTCGTACTACATGCCCAAGGACTCGCCCTCCTCCGGCCTGGGCCACCGCCACGACTGGGAGAACGCCGTCGTCTGGCTGTCCGCCGCCTCCACCTCGGCCACCGTCCTCGGCGTCGCCGTCTCCGCGCACGGCGAGTACGACACCAAGACGTCGGGCATCGACTACACCGGCACGAGCCCCCGCATCGGCTACCAGAGCGTCTGGCCCGTCAACCACCAGATGATCTTCACCAGCGACGTCGGCGGCCAGCAGCCCCTCATCGCGTGGGAGTCTCTGACCGACGCCGCGCGCACCGCGCTTACGAACACCGACTTTGGCAGCGCTAATGTGCCCATGAAGGATGCCAACTTCAACACCAACCTTGGCAAGGCTGTCTTGTAAGAGGGTCTTTTCACACGACTTTCCACGCATTTGTGAAGAGCTCTGGGAGAGGTTGACGGGGAATGATGATTACTATTTAATTGTGAGGCTAGCCACTTAGCTGGCCTCGTGGATGGCTTCATGCATATATCTTAGTCTTACTGAGGAGCGAGAGCTTTTGAAGCTCTCTGACGATGGCTCCGTAATACATAACATTTACTCAATGTTGTCCATCTTCGAGCGTATTCGCAATGCATGTGATGAACAACTGCGATAACACAGCCAGACCAGTAGATACGGCGGCTTCGGCTACCGGCGGCCTCCACACAAGAGAAAATAATGATCCTCATCGTCGTTCAAGCAACTCGTTAAAAGAGGAAGCTAAAGCAATCCATTAAAGTCGTTCGTTTCACCATTCTGCCATTGCCAAGTTGGAGGTTGTCGGTTCGGACATTGAACGGGCAATCCCGCCAACCAGCAAAAGCATAATTGACAAGCCGTCGCCCAAGTGCCTGCCCAGGATGGTCGCTGCTGGCCGTGCATGGCGACCGAGGCTTGGAATTTTGGAGTCGCTTGGAGATGGTGCCAGGGCACTTTTCTTGCCGCCTGCCGAAGAGGGTAATCGAAATCCGATGCGGGCAACTCAAATCGCTGGAGCCCAAACCGCACATCACAATCAACTGGCGGCCGGGTTAAGCGCTTGAGATACTAATCGAAATCGAGATGGGTTGCCGATCACCCGCTGTCACAAGTTGTTCAGGCTGAAGTTTGGCTCTGGAAATGCCATTCGGGTAGAAATGGCCTGGACACATACACGGTGGCTGGTTCAGCAAAGGGCTTTGGCAACTCCCCGTGTCTCCGACGAACCTGTGGAGAAGACGGATATGTCGGCAGCATGCCTTACCGATTCAATCTACAAGCAGTCAGCCCACTTTGAGAGTCTCCGTTTGTTGAAGAATATCCGTTCGTCGTCCTCGACGTCGAGTTGTTGCGCCCACGTGGTGGTTAAGGTTGTGGCCGAACTGGGGCGTTCTGTGGCTCAGGTGGAGCTGGACCCCGCACACGGGCAGCATTCCGATTCCGAGGCCGCAAGCTGCGCTTTCTTGAAGATTCATATTCGGCATTTTTGCTCCAAATTTCAACGATCAGCATCTGGCCCTCTGGCGCAACGGTAGCGCGTTCGACTCCAGATCGAAAGGTTATCCGTTCAAATCGGGTGGGGGTCATTTCTTTTGCTTTTGGGACATGTTCGACGTTTATTTCGATGTTTCGGGTTGTTGGCGTTGCAAATGAGTTATTGTGGCTATTCTGAGGCTTTGAGTTCTTTCTGAAGTCAGATACGAACTGGTGGGCAAGTTCGGCTTTTTGTTGGGCACGGACCAAGCAACCTTGTTGTCAGGCTCATCACTTCCCCACGGATGTAAAGCTCCCATCCAGCTTAATCCATCAGTGATTCACTGGGAAGCATTGTAACGGGGGGTCGGGGAAGGCATGATTTGAACGCAAGTCTAGTAGTCTCTGCAGTCTCCTCGACTACTCTTGTTCAGCTGACGAAGAAGCTACCTAATTGCGAGCATTATCATTATCACCAAGTACATACCCCAAGGCCAAATGTCACTCATAGCATGGAAGACATGCTACATTTCCCTAGGCAGTTTGTCCCAGAACTGAGCTTGACAAGTATCTCTGCCAAGTATCAGTGGATTATCCATTAAACATATCCGTACTGCTCGTCCTCCATCGGTCTCACAACTCGTTCATACACCTCTTGCCGGAAGTCCTGATCAGTCAAGTCCAAGTGTTCTCGATTGAACTCTTCCTCGATGCAACATCGAACCGCGTTGGCATAACTTGAACCTCCGAGCTCGTGACGCAGCACTCGATACGCCGTCAGTCTATCGCACATCAGCCGTGAGACGCAGAGCATTGCCTTTTCGTCGGTATTCCGCATCGACCCCATGGTTCTTCCGCACCCGAGCTCCGCGAGTAGAATGCCGAGTGAGACCAACGCTGCGTTGCGACAACCGAATGAGGGCTTCATTTGTTCCACTGATCTTCCGTCCACATTTCGGGTAGGGTAGCCATGACAAAAGTGTCGCTGTAACGAAGTAGAGAGTCCTTCCTCAAAAACAAGATATCGCGACTTGTGACTATATCCGGTAGCCAGTTCGTCTGATGGAGCTGTAGGAAGCCGACAGAAATAGAGGCAGCCAATTTCCTCTTCGTTACGTATTGCCCGTGTAATCCGGAATACTTGTTCGAATCCTCGAGGACCTCCTGCAAAGCTACAGCACTCCAAGCATCACGGCTGGGCAGGCATTTGCCAGGGTAGATGCGATATTCTCTAGACTTCCCCGAAGTCTTGTCTGTGATTTCTCCGTAAGAGCCGGTACCGCCCTGGGTTTGTCGCTTTCGGATTTCTTCGCAAAGATTGACTATCGGGTTTGGGGCAGCTATGTCGATCTTGACATCAGAATTTAGAGCGGCGGGAAGGAAGTCAGTGCCTGCTGGTTTGTCGGTGTCAACTGAGCGCTGAGCTTTTTTGAGTTGATGGTAGGGGATAATAATCTCTTCCCACATAGATCCTTGATGAAAGCCGGCGGCCTGGTCAGCTATGCCAAAATTCATGGATATAGGAATCTCAATCTTCCGTAGGATATCGTCGTCACTGCGGCGAGCTATTCTCCCAAGCACCTGTGGCATAACTTGCAGATACACTTCATGCGAGCAACTGCCTGGGAAACTGGACAGTAGCACTCGATGAACGCTTTCTGCCAGTTCGTGAATTAGCTGCATTGTCCTGCCTCGCGCTCGTGATTCTCTCCTAGGAGCCATTCCGATGCTTCGATCCACCAGCGACTCAATATCGGTAATGTTGTTCTTTATGATTGTCATTGACTCCGTATACGTGGACTTTCCGACAGCGAACATGATGCGTTTCAGCGCTGTAGAGAAAGGTGCGCCGTCGGATGAAGCATGCTGGGCCAGAGTGAGCACGTAAATCCCCTTGGGGTATATGACTTACCTTTACCTCGCCATTCAGTGGCAGATCGATCGACTTTGCTATGTCTTCGATAGCCAATTTGATGTCCCCAACCTTTTCCAGCAAGATCTGATAGGATCTCGGGTTCCAAAGCCTGGCTTCAATCATCTTGCGAACGGCATCTTCATGCCACGAGGGGCCAAATGGGTCATTGACCATGCCATCGACTTTAGAGTCCGGAACGATGCCAGTGAGAAGCTTCTCACTCACATCCTGAAGTCTGATTCTTTCATTCTCGAGGTCGGTTATTAGGCTTTTGATTTCTCTGTCATACCTACGCCAGATTCGTATCGCCGAGGCGCCGTGTCGGTAATGCTCCAGGGCCGATATGAGGAGCGGTATGGTACCAAGGACTACGCCCACCACCTCGATGCCGGACATTGTTCAATGATAGCCAGACTCCTTTTAAGACTACCACAAGCTATCTGAATCATGTCCAGTCATTGAGGTTCATATCCGTAAGATGTCAGCACACCACGCGACCCCTCTCCGTCCATGTGCACATTGAGGGGAGATAAGCACCCAACTATCATAGGCCAATCCGACGTGGCGCTTTTCTAATCAATGCGGGGAAATTTCCATTTATTCATCGAAGGAGGCCTTCATGATAGACTCGAATGGTGTCGTCGCGTTGCCCAGCATATACACGCTGCCACAGCAACAGCGCCCATGTCCTTCACCGGTCATTTTCTTTCATCATCCTCTTTCAGCATCATTTCACACGTCAGTGGATGTTTTTTTTTTTTCGAGCTACAGGGTTGTTTGTTGACTTCTGGAACAAGGAGATATCCGTTCAGTTTCCATCCAAGAACTATTTCGACGAATCTTAGCCAGCCTCTTGATCACCGCCCTTGACAGAATGCCATCTATCCTTGCAAGACTGAGCCAAAATTGTCCGGTATCAAAGACATGAGAACATCGCTTCCTCTCACATCGGACTGACGCCTCACTGTGGCGCCGGTCATTGAAGATGTCGCCTTCGAAGCTATTATCTCTTTCGAAGAGCTAATAAGAGCATGGCGACCGTATAACGGAGGACCTTCTGTCGCAGCTAACCTTCCGAGTCTCAAAAGCGATCTATTCCGGCTGAAGACGTGGCACGCAGACTTCACCACTCGAGCCGTCGCTGAGTTAGATGGACGCTACCTAGATCACCATCTGCGCAACGCATCACACATTCAACGCCAACTCCTCAAACTATTGAGCGGTCTTAAAGAGTCAATAGGCGATGCAGAAAAGATCCTCACCGGACAGACAGTTCCATGGGATAAGCTGAGCAACGGAGTAAACACCTCACAAGATGGTATGATAGAACAACAAACGGAACTTCAACAGATCGCGACAGAAATCTGTGGACTGGTCGACTGCTTGCTAAGACTCCGTGTCGATACTGGAGACCCCGCTCCTCACGATCGCATCACATCTGCAAAGCTTAGGAAGGACCCAGAAGACTATAGCTTCGATGTGAATTTCTTTAAAGAGACCTGGGTTAGAATCGAGGAGTTCTTGGCCGAGCGTCTGGGTAAGTCAGTGTCCCAAAGACGAGAAACACTGAGACAAGGAGCCCATGAGCGAAAATCGTCAACGAACTCGGATCTACTCCACAACGAACAGTCACCCGGCGCCAGTAGCAGACACCAGAAAGCCGCAGAATCAATGCCTCCGACAATTCTAGGGTCAGGCTCCATCAAATCCGTCAAAACAATAAGTAAAGACGAGGATCTCACGTTGTCCGAAGGGGCTCGCCAGATCTTACGGAGCATCGAGGTCGACGTCAAGAATGTACTTCACGAGTCGACATCAGATGAATTTCAGTGTCCATATTGTAATATGACGCTGGGGCTTAGCAACAGTGACCAAGAGAAGTGGATGTAAGTCAACCAGCTTATCAATTTGGCATGGTCATCTATGCACTTTCGATGAAGACTGACCGGCAATCCAATTGAAGGCTTCACGTACTCAGTGACCTGCAACCATATGTCTGCGTTTCGTTGGACTGCATGATTCCTACTCAACAGTACTCGGAAGAGACTCGATGGATGCAGCACATGCTTTCTAACCACTTAAGAACATATCGATGTCCACTAGGCTGCAAAGAGACCTACTCAAATACGACCGCGTCAGCTGCCCACATAACTCAACGACATCCAGACATGATCCCCCCGAGTCAGCTCTATACCCTAATCAGCCTAAGTTCTAGTCCGATGATAGAAAAAGCAAATACATCTTGTCCATTCTGCTCCCAAACCATGGGTTCCTTGGCTCAGTATCAGTCTCACGTTGGCAGACACCAAAGAGAAGCAGCCATATTTGCTTTGCTAGATGAGACTCAACTCAAATCAAAAATCGACTTACAGCGAAGAGAAAAAGAAGAGTACAGGAAGAGGCGCGAAAAAATTATGAGAAGAAGAAACTGGTGGGGCGAAAGTACCAGGGCCGCTGGAGAGTTGGACCGGCTCCGACAACGCGAACAGCGTGAGGCCAGAAGAGAAAAGTGTGGGGAGCGGCGAAATGAAGAAACGCAGAAAGATTATGAGGAGCGCATGGGAAGGCGATGGGAAATGTTATGGCAAGGTCGTGGCTTAGGATCCGGCTCTTCAGACTTGCCTTCAATCCTCAATGCGAGTGAGGGCCAGGAGGCCAGCAAGAGAAGAGGAGAGAAAGCTGATGAAGTGTCTGTGTCTTCTCATCGTTCATCGATTCAGTCTCGCTCATCCAAGATCATATCTCTAAATTGGAAGTTTAGGGAAAGGCGTTAGCTATCAAGGCTGGCGGCTTAGACGTAACAGCAGCACAGAAGATCGTTTGGCGAACGCTGCGACACGGCGCAAGCGTGAAACAGTTCCAGAGTCGCAAGATCTTGACGAGACGCCTTGGTTCTAAGGCGCAGCCAAGTTGTCTCCTTGCCATCACGATGGTTCATGTTGGCTCCTATCATTTTGTTAAGAGATTTCACCGCAATTGTTCGACATCCGGCGATTGGAACAAATTATCTAAGACTTCGAGTTGAAGGGCTCATGGCGGAATAAACATGACATGATCTTCTTTATCAACGGGCTTCCAGCGGAACATTTCAAAGTCCATCATAATACCAAGCTTCATCCCTTGAGAACATAGTTAGTGCATTACAAGGTAGCAGCCTCTGTACGACAAGGGCATCAAATTTCAGGTTGCGGGTCCCGTCTCGAAAGTCTCGTACTGATGCCACAGTTTGTCGACAGTAGTGCAGAGTCTGAGTTCTGATAGCAAGATCCCAAGTGAAAGTAGTGCGGATGCCTGGGGTACTGGGATTCACGGAATGATCCTCCAGAACCTGGTTGGGAAATTCGTCCGTAATTAAGGCCTGCTCGTACTCAGGATAAGACTGTGAGCCACTGGTGACGAAGGAGACGTCTTGGTTTATTGAAATACTGAGTAGCGAAGAAGTGTGATGAAGCTGGAGGAAACTCCAAGAGAACCCCCCTGGCTAGATGGAGCTGAGCTACGTAGGGTATCCCGATGCTAGGAGAATTTCCGAGGATCTATTTCAGCGACAAAACGGACCCCATTTGTCGATTCATTGTCAGTGCTTTTGGGTACACGGCAGCCTGGCATGTTCCCTCATCAAGTTCCCAATCAGGCTTCTTACTTGAGGGAAATGCTGCCTATGACGAGACCGGCTATCTCGAAGCCAGACATTTCCGATCAGAAAGTACCTGTGAGCATTGTTAGTGGTACTAGGTTTTGGAACCGATGAGAATTACTTGGGAGAGAAGCGACGGCAAACAGCATCGCGGCATCTTTCTGGGATTTGCCAGCCTGACCTACGCACCATCTGATGGTTATTCGTTCATAAAACGGGGTCATCATTTGCCCGAAGACAATGAAACTCTGTTCACTGTCGCAATGTGTCATTTGAAAGAAAAAACGTGACATCCTTGCTGCTGAACCTGAACAGTGTCGATATGCTCCTTTGTTCGTCATCAGGAACGTTGACATATAAATCCCCGTCTCCCGCGGCAATCTCTGATGAGTTGGAAGAGTTTAAAAAAAAGTCAAATACAACCTTTTCAGCCTACTTCAGCCTCCGTATTCATGCCGTCGCATCGAGATATGGAAGACAGTATCGCGAGTCTCGTATCGAGAGTGTGGGCATATTTCTCTGATCTGTTAGAGACCACCCAAGGTCCTATTCTTAATCCTCTGTTGCTAAGATGGCATTCAAAGCTTAGAAAGGAGCGAACCAGATTCGAAGTCTGGGCTGGAAACGTTAGAGCGCACAGAACCGGCCGCTCTTCCCTCGAGTATCGACTCCGCGATGCGTCGGATCTAAGACGTCAGGTCTGGGGGCTCCTGACAGAACTCCTGAAACCCTTTGACGGCGCCTGGTTTGGTTTCAACTATCTTGGGTTTCCACCAATTACGCCCGATCATAGCAGTGATGATTATAAGGACATGGAAACAAACATTAATGCAATCATGGAAAAAATTCGCGTCACTATCAACGATCTCCTGGTACTCATCACAACGCTAAATGATCCTGCGCGACTCGACCGATATGTGGGGGCGAAATCGACAGTCGCCTCGGAAATTGAGGCGTTTGACATTCAACATGTACGCACGAAATTCAATGGCATCCAAGACGACCTTGCCAAGCGTTTGGAAAGGCAATCTCGAGGCGGCGCCAGTACTTCAAGTACAGGAAAGCTCGCCACGAGGGGCTGATACATGTCAAAGATGACCAGGGACATAACAACTCGACAGGGAACCTGCAAAGTACAGCGGCATCTTCGATCCCGGATGACATCAAACAGGCTTCACTCAACGATGACGACTCTGACCAACATGTATCAAGCAGAAAAGAGCTGACTCCACTAACTCCATACGCCACCACATCCGATGCAGTCACACAAGCAAAGCCAGTTCCAGACCTCCCAAAAGCGGCTTATGACGGGCCATTCGAGTGTCCACACTGTTACATGCGTGTAGAAATAAAAGACACTTATGCATGGAGGTAGGTCAAGTGATCAATTGGGAAGACCTGGCAAGCTGAAGCTAAATGTTCTCCTTAGACAACATTTGTGCGGCGATCTGACACCATACAATTGCCTCGCAAAACATTGCATTTCGGAAGGCAATGACTTCGCCACGAGGTACGAGGCATGAATGGATGCAGCATACGCTGCAACGTCACCTGAGGATATTCCATTGCCCTGCCGGCTGCGGTCATAGCTACTCATCTGCACTGCGACTCGAATCGCATGTGACAGAACATCATTCGGATGAAATACCCGAGGAACATGTCGAAATGATGGTCGAGGCAAGCTCTGAAGCTTGGGGAGAGGCTAAGGTGATTCAATGCCCCCTTTGCTCAAAGAACCTGTCACCTCTGAAAGGCTATGAACGTCATGTGGGGAAACATCAAGAGCAACTGGCTTTATTTGCGCTTCCGATTGTGAGCGAATTGTACGAGAAGAAAGGGCAAGTCAGCAAGGCATTGGAAGGCAAAAGGCTTGCTAATATTCCAGACACTAACATCGAGCTTGAGAATGAGCACGAGAGCCAAGTAAAAGATGAAAAACCGACAGAAGTTCATGAGGAGTCTCAAGAGGTCGAAACAAAGGAGCAATCTCGGGCTCAACTGCCTCCCTCTCTAATTTCCCTGAGTCGGAAGAACGAGTTCTTCATGCCAGAAGCCGGTATACATCCAGATATCATCACCCCTGCCATCAGCCGCCTTCTTGGAAAGGACGCTTCTGTGCGACCTGGATATTATGAGGTAAGACAATCTTTTCACAATCCGCCAGCAAGTTTTACCGTCGCGAAGTGAGACTGCTGCTGATCAAAACTTACCATAGAACCATAAGACAGAACGGATCTACCAAGGCTACTTACTACCTCAAAGCTTTCAAAAGTTTGAAACCTGTATGTTAGGTAAACAGATCGCTCAAGGTTCCGATTGCTGACAAAATAGGCTACGATTGAGAAGATTGAAGGCCTGCTCGGCGCGATAGTGGGCAATGAAGCGGCGTCGAGAAGAAGTACAAGGTCGTTCAGATATGACTGAGAGTCAAAAACTTGATTATTGGTATCATCAATCCACTCCCGCCTTGTAGCTGAATACATTTCGTACGATGGAGCTTTGGTAGCCCTTCAGGACGTCAGTCTTGCGAACTCCGACGACAAATCCAGCCCGCCGCAGCTTCAAGAGACCGACGCGCGTGCGGTTTCTGCAAAAAGAGGCAGTTTGGTACCCGAGGAATCGCAGGAATCGCACGAAGCGAGGGCCGACGATGAGTGACCTCAAAATGGTCTTATATGGCGAGGCGGGCGTTACGCACAAGTAGTTTAGATAATCTTTTTCCGAATCGAGTCAAACAAAAAGCCCCATATCACAGGCAAGAGATACATCATGGATATCAATCTTGACAAACATATACTTTTCATTAAGTCCCTCAACAACATCACCTTCCCACCCCTAAAAGGGGCATCTTCAACTACCTTACAAGGGAACGACTGCTACCACGATGCCTCCCGACGCCACCCCTAGTAGCTTTGCCATGCAAATGTAAAAAAAAAAACCACACTATAAGAACCAAAACCAAGAGATGACAGCAAGGCAAGTAAAATAAGGGGGATGGACGAAGGTAGAAAGGGTTGTGGGGTATGTGTCATTACGAAGAAAGTGGTTTTTGTTTGTGTGTGAGAATGCGTATTACAACGGTGGTGGTGGACTGCCTGCCTGCCTGCTTTTCTTTGCGCTATGTAACCAGAATATTGCTAAATGCGTCCGATATCTCGGATGGTGTCGGGGCTTGAAACTTTTCTGGCGTGAAGCCAGCGGCGAGACGGTCCTGCATGATCTTCAGGAGGACAGCGGGGACGCTCTCATCTGTGGCGCGGATCGTGAGACGAATCATCTAAGGTAGGCAGAGAGTCAGCTATTAATCTTCATCGGTGCAGAGTTTCAGGGGTAAACAAACCTTGGTTCCGTAGTTCGGCTCAAGACGCATCAAGCAACCAAACTTGCCCGCCTCTGAGGTGTGCAAGACACTAGCACCGACAAAGTTCTTCGCGTTGGGGTCGACGCCGTCCAGGACACGCCATCGGAAGCCCTCGACCGTCTGCCGTACAAAGAGCTCGTTCATCTCCCTATCCGACTTGCCAGGTGCCAGACCAAAGATTGCTTGGGCCTCACGAGGAGCGCCGCCAATCTGCTTCCAGCGCCTGAAGAAGTCGTCGGCGGTAAGATCTGCGGGGTCCATAAACTTGTGTGCGGTGATGGGAAGCTTGAGAGTGACAGCCTGCAGGGCACCGGCGAGGTAGCTGATACGTATCGTCGGGCTCTTGTCAAACACCCTTTTCGACTCAAACATGATGACCTGCTGAGACTGCCCGTTCTGATAGATTGTGCTCTCCGGCAGGTTCTTCACGTCCCATGTAAGCTTGCCCTTTTCATTTTCGTCGAGATCCAACGTTGTGGTGAATGACCCCAGCGCCGTAGGGGTCTTGTTCTTGAAGTACAGGATCAGGCAAGCCATCTGACCTCTGTACTCGGAACGCACACCGACTTGAATCTGACCATCCTCGTACAGCACGCCTTCGCCCTTGAGAACAAGTTTGTTGTATCCAACCTCCCAGTTGGGAGACAAGTGAGCCGCGCTAGCCAAGTTCGGTGCCTTCGTCTTGGGTTCGGCAGGTCCCAGGTTGTTCATGTCCAGGCCAGCCAAATCGTTGACGCCGTTGCCGTGACCATTCGTTCCATTCGTGCCTCCATTGGCCGCGTGTGAGTGACCGTTCGTGTTTGTGCTGAAGGTCCGCTTGAGACCTCCTTCCTTGGCCATCTTCATCTCTGCCACATCTGCGTTCGCATCCTTGCCACCGACAATCCAAGTCCTCTTATCGCTAGTGTTGGCATGCTTCTGATGCACTCTGGCAAGCAGTGCAGATTGTCGTTCGGAGAATGGTGGCATTTCGTCGCATACAGTACGAAGAAGGTCGTCTGTCGGCAGGGTGGCGAGCGTCAGGTACTCGCACGCTCTCTGCTGAAGTTCAGAGTCGAGCGTGTGGCTGAAGACCTGGAATGCCTTGAGAAGTTGCGGTTTGATTTCGGGGAAGAGGTTGACAAATTTGACATAACATGAGAGAACCATAGCCCTTGTACTTGATGAGCAAGCGGCGACCTTGCTCTGGAGAGCCATGAACTGCTCAATGGGACTGCACTTGGGCTGATCGGCGATGAGATGGCCGAACTCGCCCAAGATGTAGGCTCCGATCTTGACCAGGGTCTCGTGGCAGTGATCCGACTTGACGTACTGTAAGGAGTGCTGAGCCGCGTAGACCTGCAGCTCCTCGTTGTTCGTCACAATTTGGATGACACGCTGCCACACCTCGTCGCTGACGTGATCACCAGCCATGGCAATCAGACGTAGTGAGATATCCACATACCACTGGACATCAGTAGCATAACGTTCAGTCAAAATGGCAATCTTCAACACCATCTCCTCTCTTATAGCGAAATCGGCATTCTGGAGGTAGTGGAGAAGTTCGCCAACGATGACCTGGGCATTGGACGAGTCGCACATGCTGTAGAGAAGGTCGAGGCCTTTCCTCCGCACACTGATATCTCTGTCCTTGAGTGAGCCGAGAATGACGTCCTGGTGCTGCTTGATCGGTTCCAGGGTCTCGATGCGGGCTGCCAGATGTGTCATTGCCTCCAAACCCAAGTAGCGAACGTTGGTCTCCCTTGATGTCAGGAATCGTCCTAAGCGAGATGAGATTTGCTTCAGCAGAGCCTGCTCGTTATCCAAGTGAATGATGAGGTTGATGGCCTCGAAGAGCACAGCATTCTGTGCGTTGTTTTGCTGAACATTCTTCGTCTGCTCCATTGCGAGGTTCAGAATCTTCTGCAAAGACTCTCGGATCATCTCGCGGACGTGGGTGTCATCTATGGCAATTAGTATGTGCTAGCTAGAGTAGGTATCATAAGTAGCTCACCTGAAGGAGGGAAGTACTGGAGTAGACGTAGAAGCTTGACCTGGAGCCAGGGGCAAGGAACCTTGTAGTAGAGGTAGTCCGGAGTGTACTCCCCGTCAATCACTATCCTCTTTATCCTTGCTGTGGCCTTGGCGTATGCTCCCTTGTACGCATTCGCATTATCCTGGGCAAGGGCCATGACCAGAGATGTGACGGACAGAGCGACTCCGACGTCCACGTCATCCAAAAGCGATATTATGCGCTCGGCCCATTGCGGCTGGACAATGTCGGGGTTCTTGCGGTATAGACGGAGGAGGGTAAGCGAGGCCTTCTTCTTCACGAACGCCTTGGATGTTCTGTATTGCTGATGTTAGTCGCTGGCTTGTTAATCAGGGGTTGACCGAACGTACGGTGAAATCAGAAGCCTGTGAACCTCTCCGCTCAGGGCCTCTCCCATTTCCCTGCCACCAACGTTGGCGATTGCGTGGAGAGCCAGACAGTTGAACAGCTCATTATGGTCCAGCAAGTCCTTCCGTATACTGTTGACGACCAGGTGTAGCAGCTCGTGCTTCTCGTGAAGGAACAGAGTCATGGCGAGGTATCCAATCTGCTTCTCCGAGTACTTGTTCGCCGAAATGAGGTTGACGGCCTCGAGGTGGCCAAAGTCGACGTTCCATCCGAGGATGTAGATGTAGAGGAGCTTCATTGATTGTCAGCACGAGACATTAGCCAATGCAGTCCAGAACAGTCCGTACCTTGCACACGTATTTCTTCTTGTGATAACCGCTCAGGTTTCCATCTGCAAAGGAGTCAGCACAACAGCCTCGCACCAACCGACCGTCGCAATGGCTCCGTACCCTTGAACTTTTGTCTGCACGTAGAACCTCTTGTTAGCACTTCGTCGCGAGACAGCGCAGCATGACATGCCGGGAGGTGCGTGCTCACCGAATGTTGGCCAGCTCCTTATTGATTCTCTTCTCTTCCAGCTCCCTAGCTCTTGCGTTTCTCAAGTCGGCGATGAATTGCACCAAACCTCGCATGTTGGAGTTGTTGCTAGTCGAGCGGCCGAGGAAGCCGCTCGCGGAGGACGACATGGCTGCGGTGGTTGTCGGGTTCGACGGATACTCTGTTTAAAGCTTTCTCCTCTGTCCTCCAAAAAGCCTTTCCTCCTCTTCTTCGCGGGATGGGACGGGGTTGAGCTGGTTGGTGTTGTTGGACTCGCTATGAGAGTTTCGCGGTAGAGCGGCGCGGATGCGGAATCGTTTGGGTGGTGTATTTGGCGTCGTGTATGTGTTGTTGTCTGCTCCCGGTGCGAGCGTTGGGCAATCACTCCATGCGCGCGCGAGGGGTCCTTTTCTTTTCGTATTTCTGCTCGCTTACCCCAGCTGGCCTGCTGATTGCTGCGTGGAGTTTTTGGGGTGATCAACGGTCGGATCGGTGGACGGCGGGATTGTGGACTCGGCGACTCGAACTCGAAACCGGCCGGCAAGTACCGCTGCGTGTCTTAGCAATGCGTTCCCGTCGAGTAATGAGGATGCAACCAGGGGTTATCGACAATCGATAGATGCTGGTGGTTGACTCGAGATTGAGTTCGGCCTTGTAGGGGTTTCGGCGTCGATTCGCGATGTTGCACCGGGAGGAAGTGGGAAACGGAAAACAAAACTCCAAGGAAAGGGGTTCGAGGGGCTTTCGCGGGCTTGGGAGAAAACGACACTTTAGAGAGGCCCGGAAGGCTTGGGATTGGGAATGCAGCCAATGTGTGGAGATGGGCGACGGGCCACCCAGCTGCACATTGGACGTCTGAACGGGCCCGTCAAACCACTACTCCGAGGTACCTCTGCTTGTACTTCTTCGCAGGTGATGTACCTCTCACCTCAGCGAAAGCATCCAATGCCTGAATGTCTGTCTACAACACGCAACACGGGCAGCAACAACTGCTGCGACTTGGACGTCAAGACCGTCAGGTAAGCGTCCCAGCGTCCGTCAGGTGCTTGCTTGTCACACTTGTCCCCCATAGACTGAGCTCTTCACGGGCGGCCTGCTGCTGTGCGCGGAGTGTGCCCGCTGCTTGAAGACTGGGCGCGTCAGGGGTGTTGCAAGGTACTTCCATCGACCTTCTTCTCAAGCCATTGAACATGCTCGCCGTTGCTGACTGATGAAATTTGGGGAGAGAAAGTCAAGAGAGGGGACTTTGACCGGGGGGGCACTGGACGCACGCTACCTACGGGCCCGTGCAGCAACGAGAGACCTCCCCCAGTCAAAAGGTACGCACAACCACACGCTAAACTGAACTCGTTCCCGTCAATTGGCAAGCTCCAAAGTGTGCTGACAAGCCGACCCGAATGCTGCATCATCGAAGTTGCTGAAATTCCCATGCAGAAGGAAAGAGCTGCCCTCCCGTCTGTCAATCCATAATAAGAAACCCTTTTTTTGTTCAACAAAAACCTAAATCCAACCACAGACCACAGCCACCGCTTCTTTGTTCTCCTGCAGGATTCTCAATCCCAGGAAGTCACACAACCTTTTCCCACATGTCCGTCTCAGCGCTCCGGTGCAGATATGCGACGCCGGTCATGAACTCCACGATCAGACGGGTGGTGTGCCTCGCCGCCGCACCGAGCTCCCGGTTCCTCGCCGGACCCTCCTCCACAACCACACGCCGTTCTTATGCCGTAACATCCGGCGGCGGCTCTGCGGCCTTTCAGGTCTTCAATCGTCGCACAAAATGGCTGCAAAAGGAGCGCGCAGCATCGAATCCCGAGGCCAGCCGGCAAGCAGACTATCTCAAAGATGAAGTCGCAAACCGGCTATGCGAGAGGTTACTCGTAAGAATACACAACCACCATCAATGACCAATGCCTCCAGTAGAGACCACCAAACACTAACACACTTCACCCTCTCAACAGGACATCAAACGAAGCTTCCCCCGCGCCCTTGACCTAGGCGCAAACTCTTGCAACGTAGCCCGCGCCCTCGCCCGCGAGAACCCCGACCCAGACCCCTCAAAACCAATCTCGGCGCCCCTCGCCTCCCGTATAGACGAGCTCGTCGCCGCCGAATCCTCCCACGCCCTCCTCCACCGCGACGCCGACCTCCCCTTCAACAAGGATATCAACATCACCCGCACCGTCCTCGTCGACGAGGAACACGTCCCCTTCGAGCCAGCCTCCTTCGACCTCGTCCTCTCCTCCCTGTCCCTACACTGGATCAACGACCTCCCCGGCGTCCTCACACAAATCAACAACGTCCTCAAGCCCGACGCCCCCTTCATCGGCGCCATGCTCGGCGGCGACAGCCTCTTTGAGCTGCGCACTTCACTGCAGCTCGCGGAACAGGAGCGCCGCGGGGGCATATCCCCGCACGTCTCGCCCCTCGCTGACGTTCGCGACGTGGGCGGGCTGATGCAGCGCGCCGGCTTCAAGATGCTGACCGTCGACGTCGACGATATAGTGGTCGACTACCCGGATACCTTTGCGCTGATGCAGGATCTGCAGGCCATGGGCGAGGGCAACGCCATCCTCGGCAGGGAAATGGGCGCCATCAGGAGGGAGGTACTGCTGGCCAACGAGGGCATCTACAGGGAGCTCCACGGCAATGAGGACGGGAGCATCCCCGCCACGTTTAGAATCATTTACATGATCGGGTGGCACGAGGGCGGCGACCAGCCCACGGCGCTGCCGAGAGGAAGCGGAGACGTGAACCTCAAGGACATCTTAGAGTCCAACTAGAAGTGATGCTGCACCTTGGCACATTGTAAGAAACGACTGTAAAAACCTGTAAAACCAGAATCAAAACAAGAAATCTATGGCTTTCATTCATCGGCACGCCTGTCTTTTCTAGTTTTGAATTTCGTAAAAAAAGACAGGCCAAAAACCCGAGCATGCCCATACTCGTCATGAAGTTCATTACACCCCCTTTTTGTTGTATCATCATCTGTAATCTCCTGCCCCCCTCTAAACCCGTCTCCAATCCGTCATGACACGACCAATAGTTCCCAACCCAGCCACATCAACAACCTTCTCATGCCAACTCAGCAAAACACTCATCGCGCTGCCCACATTCTCGTTGGTGCCGCCGGGCCGTCCGCCCATCTGGCTGAACCCGCTCGGCGCAGCCTGCGGCGGCGGCGACCTCAGCCCTCCGGAACCAGCAGAGCCAGCCATGCCCTTGTAAATGTACTTCATGAGCACGTCGAGCAGCTCGGGTCCGCCGGGAGTGCCGTAGATGGACTTGAGAAGGGGCGTCATCTCGGAAGCCTTGATGGATTGGAGGACCTCGGTGATGGTCTGGAGGTGGGCGTCCTGTTTCGTGAAACACAAATCTCGGTCAGCGATTCGTTCCAGGCAAAGCGACTCAGGATACTGAAGAATTCCAAGCTGAAGTCTTACCTTGGCGCCATCAGGTCCATTGTAAACAGGAAACTCCAAACATCCCCTCAATGCCCCCTCGGCATCCCCGCCGCGGAGCAACTGCCGCACCTGGCCCGCGAGCTGTCGGACCTCGTCCTCGCCAATCTCAGGCTGCGGCGGCCGCAGGGTTTTGGTGTCAAAGTTGCACGCCGAGTCCTCCTGCAGGGCGTCAATGTTGAGGGTCCGCCAGGCGTCGCTGAGCGAGGCAGAGGTGTGCTCCCGGATGATGGACATTGTGTCGTAGTCGCCGCTCCGTTGTGTGTAGCAAGAATTCGGTTCCGTAGGTACGATCGTTTTTGAAAGAGCCCCGTGTGCAGTAGGTCGTTGGTGCAGTTCAGGTAGCTTCGTCGGATTTGTTCTACTCAGGAACTATCGTCTTGCGTAAGGTAAGGTAAGGTAGCCGCATGCTCATGGTGGGGAGTTTGGCTCGGTGTGGAAGATGTGGGGTTCACTGAGGCGGTGCGTCTGGCTGACGACGGTGGTCCGTGCCATGGTTTATTCATGCCAACCCGCTGCAGACTGGATCTTGGCCATCATTTGCAATGGCGCATCAAAAGTCTCGATGTCACTCATCGTGGGTCCACGCCGACTTCTACGCTCGGGTTCGTTTAACCATCACGCTCTTTCTTCGTCCCGGATAGTAATGAAAATGATGGTTCTGTAAATAATGAATATCTGGCGCGCACATCTTCTGCAAACACGAGAACATCACTGAGACATGGCATGTGTAGAAACTAATAATTGCATGCCATTGTCTAGGTCCAAAGTTGCCCAACTCTCACTCTCGTGCCCCCTCATACGTATACACAACGTCGACCGGTTGTCCTACTACGCTGCCGACTTCTCGGGAATATCAAGCACCCGCATTTGGTGTCCCTGCTTATGCGTCAATCAGGTTCTCCTCGTTTTGCTGCACCTGCTGTCTCTGCTTGCCCTTGTCCTTGGCCTCCTTGGCCGCACGCTGGTAGAACTCGTTGAGAATCTTGCCGGGGATACGGTTGAGCAGATCCTTGGGGTAGAGACGGAGCAAGCTCCATGCGAGGTCGAGAGACTCGTAAATGGTGCGAGCCTCGTACTGGCCCTGGTTAATGAACTGGCGCTCGAACTTCTCGAGGAACTCCAGAGAAAGCTTGTCCTCAGCTGACAGAGCCTCCTCACCGACGACAGCCTTCATGGCAGCGGCGTCACGACCGATGGCGTACTTGGCGTAGAGCTGGTTGGAAACATCGCCATGGTCCTTGCGGGTCATGCCCTCGCCAATGGCAGACTTCATGAGACGAGACAGAGACGGCAGAACGTTGATGGGCGGGTAGATACCACGGTTGTAAAGACCTCTGTCGACGAAGATCTGACCCTCCGTAATGTAACCCGTCAAGTCGGGAATGGGGTGAGTGATATCCTCGTTGGGCATGGTCAAAATGGGCACCTGGGTGATGGAACCGTTGCGACCCGCCACACGACCGGCGCGCTCGTAAATGGTGGACAAATCGGTGTACATGTAACCGGGGTAACCACGGCGACCCGGGACTTCTTCACGGGCGGCTGAGACCTCACGAAGAGCGTCGCAGTAAGCGGACAGATCGGTAAGAATAACGAGAACGTGCTTCTCGAGCTGGTAGGCGTAGTATTCGGCGGTCGTAAGCGCGAGACGAGGAGTGATGATACGCTCGATACTAGTATGGTTGTTAGTCTGCACATCCCTTTACGATACATTCTGATATCAAACTCACGTAGGGTCGTTGGCAAGGTTGAGGAAGAGGGTGACACGCTCCAAAGAGCCGTTCTCCTCGAAATCGCGGGTGAAGAATCTGGCGGTTTCCAAGTTGACACCCATGGCACCGAAGACAATGGAGAAGTTCTCCTCGTGACCGTCGTGGACACCCTTGTTGGTGATACCCTGCTTCTGGACCAAACTGGCCTGTCTGCAAATCTGGGCGGCGATTTCGTTGTGCGGCAGACCAGACGAGGAGAAAATAGGAATCTTTTGTCCACGGGCGATGGAGTTCATGGTGTCGATGGCAGAGATACCGGTCGAGATCATCTCCTCGGGGTATTCCTACAGCCTGTCAGTGCCTAAGACCATTGTGTGATATTCGGTGGTATCACATACACGGGAGAAGGGGTTGATGGGACTGCCGTTGATGTCGAGGTAATCCTCAGCAAGGACCTTGGGGCCCTTGTCGATAGCTCGTCCGGAACCGTCAAAGATACGACCCAGCATGTCCTCCGACACACCAAGCTTCAAGCTCTGGCCGGTGAACTCAACTTTCGTCTAGCTAGAGTTTTAGCGCTTGTCGTATTTGTCGAGATACGATGATCTCATACCTTCTTAACATCGATGCCTGATGTTCCCTCAAAGACCTATTTCCATCGTCAATCGGTGATTCTCGTGTGATCGCTCGTTTTCGCATACCTGGACGACGGCTCTGTCACCTGTAGATGTTCGTTAGCACATGGGTCATTGAGCGAGGAGTGACGTTATGTAAATACCTCGAGCCTCGAGGACCTGGCCCTGTCTGTTGGTTCCATCGGGCAGGGTCAAGGAAACAATCTCGTTGTATCTAGGGAATTTGACCTGGACGCAGAGTCAGTGCCTGATTCGAACAATCACGATTCCCTGGCGAAAAAGTCCAGCGCGACAGAGCGACAACGTACATTCTCGAGGATGACGAGGGGTCCGTTGACACCGCCGACGGTGTTGTACCGAATTCTCGGCACGATGGAGTAGGAGGGCTCCCGCGGGTCACTCATTGCTTCTGACTATCAGCGAGACAGCGCCGTACTAGAAGACAATGCGTGTTGGGTCGAGGGGGGGCGATTAGGAAGGGCGTGGGCGGGCGAGCGGATGGAGACGATGCGAGGCGCTGCGATGTACGTAGCTGGAGGAGGTTGGCAGGTCGGTGCAGTGTCGTCGAATGCACTGCACTGGAGCTTGCTTCGTCTTGGTGGAGCCCGCTCGGCAAGCTGAGGTGGCGCCGATAAGATCACTGGGGGCGCGGGCCTTGCACGCCTGGGAGCTTCCCAGTGTGCCATTATCGGCCTCAGTGTGTCAGTGTCAGCTTGGGCGCTAGCAGTGTGGCAGTGACATCACATGACTGCCCGCACTCCAACTTGAAGGTACGAAGTACATTCATCCAATGCATCTTTCCCAGAATGAGCCTGCACAGCGGTACGTATCGCGACAAGCACTTGAAGGTATCTCAAACTTCAATTCAATTTCCAAGGAACTCAAGACTACGCCGTCGTCGCGTCACGAGATCTGGCGCCCAAAACAGCCTTTCCAACAGTGCTATCGTTGGCCTTGCTCAACTCGCCCGTGATCCAAGCACCAATATCCGACATGGCGTCCAGATCAATACCAGTGTCCATACCCAGACTCTCAATAAAGTAAATCATGTTTTCCGTAGCCACATTGCCAGTCGCACCAGGGCTGTAAGGACATCCTCCAAGACCGCCAACACTGCTGTCAAACGTGCGAATACCATGCTCCAAAGACACGGCCGTGTTGACCAGAGCCTGGCCGTATGTGTCGTGGAAGTGCATCGCAATATCTTCGTTGCGGATTCCCGCGGCTCTCATGCAGTTCAACAGCTCCTTGGTCCGAGGAGCGGTCCCCATGCCGGTGGTGTCACCCAGAGACACCTCGTCGGCGCCCGACTCCAGCAGTTCCGTCGAGATCTCGGCGACCTTGTGCGGGTCGACATCGTACCCCTCAAAGGGGCAGCCGAGGACCACAGAGACGTATGCGCGAACGCGGAGGCCGGCGGCCTTTGACTCGCGAATGACCTCGCGAAAGCGGTCTAGTGATGTCGCAATATCGCAGTTGAGGTTCTTCTTTGAGAAAGACTCGGTCGCTGCCGCGAACACAGCAACTTCGACAGCGGGGGTCGAAGCATCAGCTGATGGTTGGAGTTGTGATGAGAAAGCGCCGGGGTATTTGGCCAGCAGCGCCTGGGCATTTTGCAGACCCTTGATATTCGGTGCGAGGAATGAGTATGATGTTTGAGCTGGAGAGGAGACCTTTCGGGTGAGGAGATGCTCGAGAATTTCGCTTGAATTGGCCATCTGCATTGATCCAACCGTTAATAACACTGATCCTGAGATTCATCAGGCCACTCGGGTAAGCTTACCTGGGGAACCCATTTCGGCGAGACAAAGGAACCTCCTTCAATTGTAGACACACCAGTCTTGGCGAGCCTCTCAATCAGCTCGATCTTGGTCGCGAGGGGTATCGTCTTCTTCTCGTTCTGGAGGCCATCGCGAGGGCCGACCTCGACGAGCTTCACATAGTTGTCGCGGGGCGGCTGCTGGATGGGACCGCTGGCGGTTGCAAACGCTCTCGTGGGGCGGATCTGGGCCTTTCGGCACGCCCTACAGATTGATGGGCGAATGGCAAGCATTTTGGAGTTGAATTGATTGAGGAACTGGCAACGAGGGGTCGGTCGGCAAGTTACAGAGGCCTTGGAGAAGAGCTGGGGCATGAGAAGCTTGGCCGCATATCGTCGGCTTCCACCATGCCTCGGTCAGGAACGAGTGGTGCCGCCTGTGACCAGCTGGTCACCTGACCGTGTTAGTCCAACGTATCTACCGCAACTTCTTTCCAATGGCATAATGCCATTTCGCAGGGCACAAACTTCTGCTGAACCCTCCAATTACCTACCTTTGTTTGTTCAAGTCTGCCTCGTCTCTTAGCATGAACTACAATACGAGATTAGACAAGGGGCTTTCGCGCTCGAGACTGGCGTTCACCATTTAGCCGTGATCCTGAGATGCAACCAGGCGGCGCAGCAAGCGGACTTCAGGACGTATTGAACCAAGTGCGGTTTCCCCAAATAGTCTAAAATTCTCATGTGTATTCTATCAGTCTGGGGTTCATTTAAGTTCACGCCCGCGACTGTTCGCGGGCTGCGCCGTAGGGGGCAATTGCCCTCTCGAGACGTCGAGTAGTAAGGTAGTCGTCCTCAATTTCTACCTAAGCCTTCTCCAAACGCCTACCTGCAACCTTCTTCCTTTCTCGCTGCAAAGCTCTATGTACATGATGGAACGATTCTTCTCTTCGAGAAAGGGGCCTTTGCTGTCTCTTCTCGCCCTCTTCATATGGCTCATGCCTCGCCTTGTCTCGGGACAGACAGCGATACAGACGCAGTCGGTGCCTGCTATCATGCCCACATTGGCCGGGCCATCAAAACCGCGAACCACTCCTTGGGAAGAGCTGTGTACCACTAGAGGACTAATAGAACCATGGATGTAAGGGCTGGATGTAAGGGCTCTTCCGAATTATTCGTCGTCGAGAGCGAGTAACTGACAAAAGTCTCCAGGCATTACTCTGCTTGCACAAATTCCGTCATGCTCAACCAACTCTCGTCGAGCGGCTGCTCACCATACGTAACTAGAACTCTCAAGGACACCGACGCATCGGATGCCGTCGGTGTATTAACGGATTGCTTCTGCCCAGCATACCAGACTATCGGAAGGTAAGTTCCCTTTCCATCTGCCATTATAGAGACTGGCGTTTCGAAGGTAGCAGACTTGCTCATGCCTGAACTAGCGAATGCTTGCATTGGGTCTGTCCATATCAAGCAGAGAACCTGTACACCAAACAAGTTCTCGAGGGTGTCTGCCCTGGTGTCTCTGCTGTATCCAACGTTTCTTACCCGTTCCAGACTTCGGCCACCACGACTGCCGAGGTAACTACAACGGCGACTTCTAGGAGCAGCGGTCCTGATGGCGCTGCCGGTTCCTTGAGAGTTCCAGTGGCTTTGCCCTTTGTAGCTGTCGCCATCGGCCTGTTTTCGTCCTTGCTGTGAGATAGCGAGATACTGTGGGAAGGAATCGGCTCTGCTAATGTCTAAATAATCGTTAAATTTCTTCGATGGCTTATCAATAACAAAGGCATGACTTCCAATGCCTCTATCCAGTGTGATTCATCCATGTGTCTTCCAGAATTACATACTTTAGCGCAGAAATCAATTACTCGATGTCTTCTGACAAGTGACAGCATGTCGCAATTTCATGTCAATTAAATGGCATTTAGCCTGGCTCACAAAATCAGGTCCCTACGGCTCAAACCGAGACCGGGAACGCCAATCTCTGAAGGGTACCCTCTTCATGCTCACTTTAGTGACTACAAGGTTTCCGATATGGGATACTATCCAAATCTGAATAGCGTTGCCATACACTTCGCCTCTAGAGATCATCATCATCCTGACAACTCTCGTCATTGGTTCGTTATCCTGCCTGGCTCGGATCTTTTACGTTGTTGGGCAAGCAATCAGAGGAAGGTAAGGTATGCGGGATAACACAGTCAGACTCTGTAAGAGTTCACCCATGGTATTCATTCGGCATTGACTAAAATCGATTTCCACGTTGCAGCGAGGGTACTGCTGAGGAATCTTGATCTTCAACCTCCGGACAGGCTGGGTACAGCTCCCTCTTCTCAATAGGAATGTCCGAGCTGAAGGGACACTTGCTCGAGGATGATGAAGTAGGCAAAACGATAGGGCTCGGTCGATATCTCACGGCAAGTATGTACTGATCCATCCCTCATTGATACCACCGAGGTCGACAATGTTACAATGCCATTTGATGTTCATGCTCTGCTCTTGCGCATTGCCAATAACAGAGAGCCAACCATCGGTGGAGAACACAGGTTATGATCTAGGTTCCGTAGATGTTTCTAGTGTTCCCCTACATGTGTTTTGTCTGTCCCCTGCTGCTTTTTTATGCTGCTGGTTGTCGGGTCCAGGTTGTGAAGGCAAGAATTCTGCAGTTACCCTCAACATCGACCAAGTAAGGTAGTCGACGTTGGTCGGGTTTTTGGATGCTTGCCGGACGGAAGACGCTAAAAGAACGACTCAGTAGGATACTGCAGAACTCACTCCTAATTCCATTCATGTACATGCGAAGAATGACTGCCGAGAAAAGCAATGTCGACTGTGATGGCAATTCCAAGCGCATCACATCCCATCAATGGTTCGCATGAAACCCTTCCACCGACGGCTATGGCCCCAGCCTCCCAGTCTTCCGGTCATCTAAGGGTCCGTAGGAGGCACAAAACACATGGGGGGCAGCTGGGCGTCCCATTTCCGCCGCCCTGCAGACTGCTCGCTTCCGCTCGAAAGTCTAATATCTGCTCATTGCCGAGGATATGAGTAATGCCGCCATTTCGCCACCCCACAAGTGGGATTTCGAAGATATTGTGCTATACCAGGACGCTCCATCGTCAGGTATCCGAAGGAAAACCCGGCCCCATCCCATGTCCAGGTACCTACTCTTCCAGGTTCTCAAGGCTCGGGTCTTCGTGTCTCTGGCACAGTGTACACGGTCTTTCCCGGGCTGTCACTGCATGACCGCTCGCATCGCCCCAGTGTAAGCCAACATAGTTTGCAGGCTTTTCTGATGCTATCTCCGATGAATCCTGGGAGGTCTATGCTTCCACGCCCATCTTCATGATGGCTCTCACGGATGCAGTGATGAGATTCCTCTTTCTGTGCTCGAAACGACGTTAAATCGTCAAAAGCTGATGTAATTAGATAGTTGCAATGAACGACCTGGAAATCGGAACCGGTTCGATGGTACCTTATGGGAGGTACGGCAGTAGGCGAGGACCCTTAAAACTGGCGGATAGTGCATCTATTGGGTTGCGTAGGGGAGATGCCATTGGCCGGGCAGGTACCAAGGCTGGCCTTATGGGGGTGTTCGTGGGGCAGATCTTCAGGTACAGCGCACTCAATCGACTCAATCGAAACCTTAATTTCGCTGCCCCTGGCGACGGTCCGACGACACTCTATTGACTTTCACTTACACGGCTCACTTACACGGCTCACTTACAAGGCTCACTAACACCGACTTACACGGTCGAAAACTGGGGTTTCTTTTTCTTCTATTGAGCCGCACAGTACAACCAACGTAGATTTGAGCATTCAAAGTCCCGTTCCGTGGCATTGCTGGTCATGGACGGCCAATTGGTACCTCGAGTAGTTTGTACTCTTGGTCTTTGCGTATGGCAGCCCATAGTGGTGGTCACGTCTCAATCCATGGAATGGGAGCGATGCCAGCCTTCAATGGCACAAAGGGGTGTAAACAGGCCCGACACTTGTTGCCTCGAGCATCGCCCACTTTTGTAGGACTGATATCAAATAATGGTCTGGAAACTGGTCTCATAACGAATAAAAGGGTGATAATCCTCGTTCAAGTTCGCAGCAATACGATGCTTCTGATTCCACAATGTATCCAGGCCTGTCGTTTCCGTCTTAACAGTAGATATATCAAATGCTCTGAGGCGGTAATCCCTCAAAGAACCGCAATGCTCATAGTCCTCAAGCTCTCGAGTCCCCAGGCCCTCGCACTTTCAAACCCATCTACGTCTGAGTCAATTACTCCACCGATTACCGGTCTCCTCAAGCAGTCCCCGTTCCTCTCTTGCCATCACCCAGTACCTCGAGGGATGTATCTCTGGGTCAGCAGACCTGGACAGACGCCAGCTACCACTCCCGCCCAGAATTATGTTTCTTGGACCTGGACGTCCCGGCACTCTCCCTCAGAACTCAGCCATTGAGTGGCCGTTTCCTGCCCATCGTACCCTCTACATGCCGCCCCTTTGCTTTTGGACGTGTACTTTGGCCAAAAAGGCGTCGTCGGAGAAAGGAACACTGCAACTTACGCTACCCGGAGTTGTCGAGCATCATGAACCTCTGTAGCATCTGCTTCTTTCGGTCTCCTATAAAGTGCCAAGTCTCCCTCTGTCTTGTGGTAAACAACTTCTCTAATCGTCATCATCCCAATTCACTTCATCTACATCCATCAATCCAATTGAACTATACAATTTTTCAGAAACCCATCACTTACTTCCAACCAACGCAATGGATTACTCCCAAAAAACCTACATGGGTAATACGGTTTACTGGCTTGATAACGGCATGGCGTATTATCTCAACGAGGTCAACGAGCGGCAGTTTATCAACTTGAACGCTACATCGTCATCCCCTTCTCAGCCCGACAATACTATTCAAGACCCTCCAGGCGCATACAACCAACATACCGAGGGATCAATGACACTGAATGGATACTTTCAGAAGGAGTTACAAACCGCCTTAGACGCTACCCCAGACTTGGTCGAAATGACCTATATGTCGGCTCGGTCTACTTCCCCACAATATCCAAGCGGTCCTAGTACCTCTGGCTTCGTCCCTGGTCCCGGCATATTCAACAATGAAGCTACGAACTGGAACATGAATGCCAGCAACAGCGGCGGATATACCCCCCAAGAGCAAATGCTGCCTTCAGCTGGCTCTGCTCTCGCCCCCACCAACTCCTTCTTTGGGCACGACCTCCCCGAGGGCGAAAACATGTTCATCTCTAACTACAACATGGCTCCTGGCAACAGCCTTCCCCTCCCTGCCCCTACTCCCGCCCCCGCTGGACCCTCCTCCGGGCTCGACGTTCCCGTCGCCGGCAGTATGCCCCCTAACGGATACAACAATACCGTTGCCAACCCTCCCCTCTTACCCGCCAACAATGCGGCTGCGAGCAGTAGCTTCACCCTCGCCGACAACGAGGTAGTGAGCTCTCCCTCAGGCGACGACAGGGTCATCAGAGACGCCCTCGGCCCAAACAATCAGGACGCAAGAGTCCAAAAGAGAGGCAAGGGCAAAGGCAAGAGCAAAGCCAAAGCCAAAGCCCCAGGCGCTCGTGTCGTCAGGGCCTTCTCCTGCGGGCAGTGTCGCAAGAAGAAGACAGGGTGCGACGGAAGCCCCGGCCACCCTTGCACAAGATGCCAAAAAGCCGGAACGGCATGCGAGATTGACTTGAAGGATCACCGCACCAACAAAACCACCATGGACAAGTGCGAGGAACTTCGCGTTGAACTCAACGCTCATCTCATCAAAGTTGCCCAGGTCTGCCACCACCTCTGCGGGAACTTGCAAAACCCCGCGTACGAACGGGGCCAAGTCGTTGTTGGAGCTGCCAAAGTCCTCGTCCTATACGCCGCATTCAACAAACCGATCGAGTCCTGGATACTTCATGATATCCTGCGGGTGAATGAAGACGCGGCGCGCCAGCTTCCGGAACACCGGCATCTCTTGGGAGACATCTGCAAGCGAGCCAAGGAAATGCTACACGTCCTGTCCAAGCTCATCGAGATGCTCACCCACAACAACGAAGAGTGCCGGTATCATGCCATCCACATGACCAAAGCTCTGTTCGCCAGCAATACGCCACTGATCGGACCCGACGGTCTCGACAAAAAGATCAACGACGTGTTTGTGGCTAATGAGGAGGACTTCGTCTACTCCACCTTGGCAGACGAGCTCAATGGTATCATTGCCAAGCACCTCTAAGCGAAGGAAAGGAGGAATTAGGATTCGGGGAGTCTGTTAACGTGGGGTTGTCTCTGACAGGAAGAGGAAAAAACCGCTCCCAATAAAGGGAGGGCAGGTTTGAGATGTGCTCGGTGCGAAAAGACACCATGAATTTGGGAGCATTATCTGGCGTTAGGATTACGGGTGATACACCCGGTGCAAAAAGACACCATGATTTCGGGAGCATTGTTTAGCGTTAGGACTCTCCTTGGGTGGTATACCCGGTGCAAAAAGACACCATGGCTTTGAGGGCATTACTAGGAGCTCTGGTACTAGGTCCTCACTTGAGTTCCTACATTTCGAGTCAGGCCGATTGGTTCTACTCTAGTACTCAGTTCGGATTTATATAGACAATATAAATCCATAAAAAAATGACAAGGTCCTTGGTGCAATAACACGCTTTCCCGATAACACAGGATGAACCCTTTCCCCCACTATCGTCAGCCTTCTCGATGTTATGCGACTTCGTATCATGGCTGGCCTCAATTCCACCTGTTGTGCTGATGTTCTGCCGATGTTTCTTTTGTCCAGCCGCTCCCCTTAAAAGAGTACCCTTCCTCAGATGTTTGAAATCCAATACCAGGCTTGACTGATGACATGTGACACCAAAGGCAAGTGTGATGTTTGTAGACTCCAGTGCGGTGACTGTGGCTAGGCCGCTTGGCATGATGCTGGTAGAATTGTATGATAGAGTGAATCGACGTTGAGGAAAACTGGTTGCAGTGATGGAAGCGATGGAAGTAAGGAACATCGATCAAAAGCGAAGGTGGAGGGGAAGAGCAATGCCACAGACATAAGAAAAGTAAGGTCGCATACTCCGGAAGCTTCAAGAGAGAGAATGGAGATGGTCCAACGTGCCTACATCTGTAATAGACTAACGGAGGTATGTATGTGCGCAGCTTGGGAAGGACGATTAGCATCATTTCTAACTGCTTGTATCACCAAGAGAGTCGTCGTGCAATCGAAAGACAGAGGATGAACAATTGCAACAACACTAGTGACTTGTATTGTATATCTAGAATCGTCATTAATACGTGTGAATACTTCTTTCGGGGCAGGTTGTAGACCGCGTTATTCCTGGCCCAGAACTCACCTCGCTTCCCCAAAGCCAGTGTGTCGACTTTCTCTGTCACATTCATCCAACACTCAACATTCAAAAATCCATCACACCAACTCCGCTAGACCAAAATCTTCGCCTCACTCTTAGGCCCCCTCTCCCCAAAAATCGTACTTCCCACCCTGACCTCCCCGCTCCCCAACTTCACCGCACCCTCAAAGTCCTCACTCATACCCATACTCAGCTCCAACTCCCTCTGCAAGCCCAGCTCCTTGACAACCAGATCCCGCTGCTCCTTGAGACACACAAAGTCCTCGTTCTCGTTCTCGGGTGTCGTAGCCTTGCTCCGCGCGATGGCGCCAATGGTCATCAAGCCGAGGAGCTTGAGCGCGGGCGACTCCTCCTCGACGGCGCGGCAGAGGGCAACCGTCTCCGGGCCCGGCTCGGCGCCGGACTTGGACTCCTCGCCCGAGGTGTTGACCTGTACGTGGACGCCGAGCGGCTCCACGGGGCCGCTGCTACCATCGCTCGATGACGAAGAGATGAGCTCCGCGCGCGAGGCGTTGAGGAGCTGGACCTTTTTCAGGGTGTCTACGCTGGAGACGCAGAAGAGGTTTGGGATCTTGGCCAGCTTCTTTGCGTGTGCTATTCGGTGCGCGTTAGCCATATAATTTCATGCCTGATTGTTTGGACACCGTCTCCCAAGAACCCCAGCCGATTTCCTCACATCGACTGCTTTGCCACATGAGAAACTACGTAGAAGAGTGCTTGGAGCGCACGAGGAGTCTCTGAGGAAACACTCACTTGATTGCAAACCACCGATAAAGTGCCACTGAATACTCCTAGGCAGCATCTCCGCCTTCTGACCCAGCTCCTGTGCGTAGTTTTCGCCGAAATGCACCTGCGACGGCGTGGCCTGCTGGTGCAGCGCCAGGATGTCGTTGGCTGGCTTCAACTTTGAAACTGCCACTAAGCGGACCTTTCCTCATCAAGTCAGCTTTCGTCTCGTAAAAATCCCATAGCCTTCACTTTGAACAGAGAACGCTTTCTTCAGATCCCAGCCTTCGTTCCTGCACTCCACTCCCGGGAAGTATCTAGCAGAACGACTCACATTTCGCCCCGCAGCGACGGCGGTGACGCGCTCCTGGACGGACTGCAGCTGCGAAACCAGAGCCTTTGCTCTCGAGGGATCGATCTTCATCTCGGGTTGGGCGTCGGTCATTGCAGGGTTTACCGGGGCTATGGCGTTGCTGAGTGAGATTGGCGTGGGTGAGACAGTAAGTGAGTGAGACCGACGGGATTTTTGGCAGTGAAAGTTGAGATGAGGTTGAATTGCAGAGTCATTGAGCTTCCAGCGTCTTCGGAGACGGACCTGAGCTGCGCTAACAAATATGGGTCTGGTGTACAGCGAAACCGGGTGCGGAGTAGCGGAGATGGAGTTAGGCTGCTTCAAACTCATTCAACCACCTTGATTGTCTCTCTTGCCTGGACACATCCTTATTACTACGGAGTCATCTTATCTCAAAATTCTTGAAAGACTCTAATTAAATGGATATCATTCATACCTCCTCCTCTCAGGCCAAAGAGCGGCGACGTGAGCGAGATGTCGTCTTCACTAGCCAAGTGACCTCGTGTGCAACTGAGAGAGTATGAGACTAGGCCACTATTCCAGGACTTATACGCAAAGCGAGCGAATATGTAGCTTCCAATAGTCGCTGACTGTAACGAACGTTGGTCGTCAAATCGAGCGCCGGCTTAAATGATCACATTCGTACTGTTGACAGCGGTCTTTCAGTCTCGGTCAAGCTCCAGGAGAAACACCTTTCAGTCTCTCCCAGTCATTCTATTAGGAGGCTATAGAACTTTCCCTTCGGTATAGAAGATTGGTCGTGTTCCGTCACTAATCCTGAGACCCAGGACAAGTGGCACATGCGAACTTTTCGGCGCCCGGACAGATTTACGGCCAGATTGTGAAGACTTGTCCATTATTATTAGATTATCTTGATTCGAGGTATTCAACCCAGCTATCAGTATGCCACTTGCCCATGTATTCAGTTGGCATCTCTCACAGTTCGTCGCTGCTCGCCTCTGGAAGTTGTGATTCCAGTCCACGCCCCTCATACAAAGAGCCCCCATGTCTCGCACTATGAGATCAATGTCGTTGGGATCCCGCAAGTTCTGGCGGGTACCTCGAATTCGTCGCCGGCACTTCCTGAGGCTCTCGGGCGCCAGGCAGCTCCGTCATCGGACTCTGGTACTCTTCCACCGATGACGGGTACGATGGCGGAGGAGTCTGTCGCCGGCTGATCGGACTGACATTACTAGTCTGGTGCGACAGTTGACGAGCCGGCGGCACCACAAACACGTGGTCGCCGGATGAGTTGGGCTTGGCATACGCCGAGTCGTGGCGCATCTGCTGATGCACAACGGGATGCAGCGTCGGCGTGGGATGGCGAGCCTGGTTTCCCGTGCTCGAAACATGTGCCGGCCGGTTGCGCTTGCGTAGGAACCAGAAACAGAGAGCCGAGGCTACTAGAGCCCCGACCGCTGCGCAACCCACGGCGATTCCAGCCACGGCGCCGGTGGAGAGGTTCGCTGCACCCGCTGAGGGAGCGGCCGACTCCGTCGCTGGATCGGATGTCGCGTTTGCTTTGATGACGAAGCCACGGCTCTGCAGTCCGTTGTCGATGAAGCCCGCAGGCGCATCAGTCCGGGTATAATTTCCGGTTGGGTCGATGATTCTCAGAGCGAAGTTGGGGTTGCAGCTATGGTCTCTTCCGTAATGTCGTCATTCTCTCCGATATACCACGTGTAATACCCATTGTTTCTGTCATTAGCTTCGCAAGATGTCAGTTAGCATGACCGTTCTGAACCACCTTGCAATATCGGTGTTCTTACTGATGAAATATATGATAGCTATGCCGGCGTCCTGTCCCCAGTGCACAAGACTCAGAGAGATCCATGGCACAGTTGGGACTTCCCATGTGATGTGAACCTTTTGTCCGAGTACATAAGTGCTGTTTAGATCCGGGACAGTCACACGGGCACCACTCCGGTCAATTTCGAAACTAGGCGGTTCGGTGAAGTAGTCAGCTCGCACGGGGAGTATTGAGAAAGATAGTATTCCCAGGAGCGCCCGACAGAGCGAAGACCGGTGGCGGCACAACATGATGAGAGACAGAGACAATGGAAACAGGAACGGGTGAGGCCTTGGAGAGGAAGCACACGCTTCATAATATGCATTTTCGCCGACCATCACTGTGCCGTTTGCTCAGGGGACTGCGACTCATCTCGAGTCTGCCTTGACTAGGCCGGATTGAGGCATCATTCCTAGACGCAGGGTCTTTAACAAGGGTGCTAGAGAGCACGTTGCAACGAAATGAATGCTTCTTAGGCTAATTGTATGGTTGGTAGACGCGATGCTGGCTGGGAACAGGTACGCTGTGCCGCTGGGCTACAGCAATACGAACACGCCGCCAGCCAAGAGTTCGTGTAGTCGAAGTCGCGAAGAGTCTGCTCATGGACTACACAGTGTTGACTCATTCGAGTAATACTACAATGATCTTTCGTCTCGAAAGGAAAGTATAGCATGAAAGTAGGCGCTATGTTGATGAAGCATCGTGATGAGTATGTTTAAAGTGGTACGGAGTAATTATTAGGTGGACGAATGGAGGAGCTCAATTGAGGCAGTGTGGCCCCGCCACAAGCTCCAGCCACTACTACGTTATCGCTATCAGATACCAGCACCTTATCTTATCGGCTACATTAGGATCCTTGCTTCACGTAAAGTTACGCGTTCAGAAATTCCAGGGGGATCGGAGGGTGGGATGACGGGATGTCATTTTGTACGGCATGTTGGTTGGCTGACACCTGCCGTGCTGCGGTTGCCTTCAGGTTCCCCCTTGCTGTGCCTTATGCCGTGTGCCGACCGTGTCTTCGTCAGCTCCCCAATCCCGAGAGAGATAGGAAAGAGAAAAAAAAAAAGGGATGAAGGAGGAGGAGCATTGAATTGACGACGAACCATCCAACTACGATCGTCGCGTGTCTTCACTTTTCGCCTCTCACACGGGCAGCTCCCTGGCCCTTTCTGACAGCTAAACTTTTCCGCCTTTCGCTTAGGGTCAATTTCTCTTCTTCAAACGCTTTTTTTACTTTACTTTCCTTATCGTAGCTTCGATCGATTTGACCTCCATTCTCTCATTTCTCAAGCCAGGTGTCTGTTCTTCGGCTTGGCTTGGTGTTGGAGCTCCCTATCCACATGTCCTACCCTTGAGCTCGACCATCGCGAATCGACTCGACTCGACTCCATCGACCCACGATAACCTCAATCGATCTATCCCACTCGGCGTACGGCCCCTCCAAGGCCCCGAATTCCCGAATCCTCATCGTCGGCTACACCTAGCTCGCCCATCATGCCTAAGCAACACACGATATTTGGGAGGCCGCTCCCCCGCATTGGCACGAGACGCATTTCCTTCCTCCTCGTCAGCATCTCCATCTTCGCTGTCTTCTCCCTCATCTTCACACTCCCGAGCGCCATCCCCGCCGGCCCGAGTCTATCAAAATACACCGACCATAAGTTCTCGATACCCTCGGCTCTGAAGAACCCATTCGGCGCCTCGAGCAGACTGAACCCCTTCAAGTCCCCCTCACACCCGCCCCCGCGTCAACAGAATGACACGTACGGCGAGTCCTCTTGGTGGGCGGATTGGAAGTGGCTCTCTGTGCCCTTCTCTTCCTCATTAACCCTCGACGAGGAGCGCTCCCTGCTGCCTCCCCTCAAGCCTCGCCCGGCCATCTACTGCTACTACGATACCACCATCAAGAAGGACGCCGCAAGCAAGGATGCCGAGAGCGAGCTTCTCCTCCTCTGGCGCCGCGCATGGTGGGCCCGCGGCTTCAAGCCCATCATTCTCAGTGCCGCTGAGGCCATGAAGAACCCGCTCTACGACGAGCTCCAGCGCAAGGAGATGGACGCCGACCTCAAGACCGACCTGATGCGCTGGCTGGCCTGGGATAACATGCGCGGCGGCCTGCTCGCCTACCACACCACCCTGCCCATGGGCTCCCACGAGGATCCCCTCCTCTCGTACCTCCGCCGCGGCGAGTACCCAGAGCTCACCCGCTGGAACAACTTGGACAACGGTCTCTTTGCCGGCGGCGAGAAGGAGGTCACAAACGCCATCAAGGCTACCATGGCCAGCTCCAAGCTCAAGGAGGCCAAGGACTTCGTTGCTGCCGCCACCGAGGATACCTTCAAGATCGACAACTATCCCAAGGCAATTGCCTACTACGACGTTACGGTCATCCAGGACAAGTATCCCAAGGTCGGCGAGGCTATTGCCGCAGACCGTGCTGGTGGTCTCAAGGCCCTCAAGAACCTCATCAACGGCCACCTGCACACGACCTGGCAGAACGTCTTTTCAGACGGCATCGCCGTCCTCAAGCCTCTGCCTCAGCACATGACGAACCTCATCAAGGACGCCTGGGACCTCGCCGGCGACCTCTCCATGTGCCCCGACTCCCCCATGCCCTCCTCTTGCCCGCCCAACAACCCCAAGTGCAAGCCTTGCGTCCCCGCGCAGCCCATGCACGTCTCGACCCCTCCCCGCTACCGCAACACCTCGACCCTCTACACCATCGGCACCGTGCCGCACCCCTACACCACCGCCCTCCTCTCCAACCTCCAGGACTCGCTCGAAATCCCCTGGCTCCGCCGCAAATCCGAGCGTGACGCCTGGCTCGGTGCCGTCACCACAGAGCTCCTCGGCGTCGGCATCGGCAGCGCCCCGCGCGTCCTCAAGTTCAAGGAGGCCGTCGCCGGCGAGTTCGCGACCGCCCACTCCCTCTGGCTCACGGCCGAAAAGGACCTCCCCAAAGACCTCGACTGGCACTTTGGCTTCGCCATCCCCCACAACGCCACGGACGGCACCTCGCAGACCCCCGTCCCCGGCCCCGAGCGCCGCCCGCAGCCCAAGCATGACCCTGCTGACGGACCCATCCCCACCGCCGAGGAGCTCGACAAGGAGGCGCCCTTGCTGAAGAGGGCCCGCGACATGGGCAAGACCAAGGACGCGCGCGAGCTCTCTATCCGCGGGGCCGTTGAGGCGTGGAACCTGGCTGATACCGAGTCGTGGAAGTTTGCGCGGGCGTTCCTGGCTCGTCGTATCGTCGAGCGTAAGGACTGGGAGGAGAATGAGAGCCAGTACGTCGGCGGCGTCGGTACCGAGAAGGGACGCCGTACGAGTTGGGGCGATCGCTGGGTGGATAAGGATAAGAAGCAGTAAAGGGTGACCTTTCACAGGAAGAGTCAAAAACGAAAGCACAAAACAAAAGTGGTGGTTCCCCATGAAGAAAGTGCTACTCGGAATTGTTGTAGTATAAACGTTGTGGGAATCGGCGTGTGACACTATGTATGACTGTATCGCGGTGTACTTGTTTTTTACGGGTTGTACGGGTCTGGTATGGGGCATCTGGAGTTTTAAGAGAGATTATGTTCGTTCCCGTGTAGAGTCCCGAATCAAAGAAATGTTCAAACCCCAGCTTTCAAGAAGACGGGACTAAGAAATTGAGGAAGAGTGCTTCTACAGTCGTGGCATTTGCGGTGATTGAGACACTTAGTTGTGGGTTTAATAATGTATGATGGCTACCTCTCATGTCTTCTAACATAACCCTCTGTTTTTTGTGTCCCCATTTCATTTTGTACGATCCTCAACTCGACCATCTCATCTCATCTCAAGGCTCCATTCGAACCTCGTGCTTGCAGTAAGAAGAAAAAGCGACATGTTGAATTTAGCATCAATAAAGTAGGAAAGAAAACATCGCAAAAAGAGAAAAGAGTGCGAAGAATACAAGTTGAGTTGTCCCTCCTACACGTCACGGGCCAAAGTCACAGCAGCCCCCTCCCATCACCGTTTTGATTTTCAGAAACAGGCATGGATGGATAGGAATACAAAAGAGAACATTGAGCCCGATCCCATCTACGCAGCGCGCGTGTCGCCGCCAAGCTCGCCTCCCAACTCCCTGGCACTAGCACCGTTGCGACCGGCCTTTGAGCCATTGACGCCGTTCTTGGCCGTCTGCTGATGCTGTTGCTGCTGCTGCTGGGCTCCGTTGCTGTTGCTGCCGGTAGTAGCCTCGGTGTAGCTCCTCAGCGCGGAGCGGGCTGCCTCGACGACGCTCTCGGCGGCCTTGAGGGCATCTCTCAGCGCCTGGGCCGTGGGGTCGTCGTTCTCAGAGCGAGCCCCCGAGTCGCGCTCCTCGAGGAGCTCGCGGATGTGGCCGTTGAGCCAGAGGCCCTCGAGCTTGTCGCGGGCCATGTCGCGTGCGCCGCCGATCGTGCCACGGCACGAGGGGGTGCCGCAGAAGCAGTCAAACGGCTGGGCCATGTGCCATTCCGTGGAGGGGTAGAAGAACTGGGTGGTACACAGACGTCAGCGGGTGCTTTTCCCGATTTCATTTCCTCCCTCTCCAAGCCTCAAAAGGCGATAAACCCCCTGGACCACGGTTGCCCAGGGTCAGTGGGTGAAATGTGACAACTCACAGTCAGTTCATCGCCGGGCTGAAGTCCTTTCGGGCCAGCCAGGACATTAAAGTTGCCCGTGTCAAAAATCTATAAATAGCACCTGTCAATCTCACATCTTCCGGGATGTCCCTGTCCCCGACCCGGGGTAGGTTCTTGGGGGGACTCTGGAAGTAGACATTTGTGCTTGTTTGGTGGCATGACTAACAAGAGATGGTTCGCATGAGTGGTTAATGTACAGCAGGTCACTGTTGAGGTTCAAGTGCTTGGCCTTGCCGCACTGAACAGTGGCATACGTCGGCTCGTCGGCCAGGTCGCATGGCGGGAAGGACATCTTTGCGTAAACGGCAAAGGGCGGCAGAGAGACCTTGGAGAAGCTCTTGGTGAGGAACTCTGTCTCGCTCGCCTTGATGACATCCTGGACGTCCGGGTGGGACGGCTGGGTCCAATGGGGCGTAAGTGGTGCCATTGTGAGAATTTCGGGTCGAGGTTGGCGATGTCGCGGTCGTAGTCGTCGTCGTCGTCTCGTCTAGATACTAGACAGGGCGTGGTTTGACTTGTTCCTTTACGCTGGGTCAGCTTGCTGTCACATGTTGAAAGCCGAAGGGAGTTAGACTAACGTGGGGTGTAGGATCCGAATTGTGGGAATTGAACAGGAAATGAGAAAGGATCACTCGTTAGAGTTGATGTGTAGTACAGATATTACAGGCAAAAAAAAAAGGTTTGGTATTTGGGAAGTATGGATGAAGGACGAGTGAGAGGTGACGAGAGGTTAGAAGAGGAAGACCAAAGTTCAGGCCGAAGTGACCGTATGGAATACCCTCACTTCTTGTACAAGAGGAGGGGTAAACCATCTGACATCAACATGTGCCGAGCTGTTCCACGGATGCCCTAGGTTGTCCAAGATTGTCCAAGGTTTCACAGGGCAGCTGTCTGGCCGCTGTAGCCAGTTAGGAAGCTTCAATTGTCTCTGGATCGCTCATATTGTCGCCCGCCTCACATGCATTTCCTTTTGTGCATTCCAATTGCGGGAGACCGTCGTTCCGCAATGCTTCTGGACGCAAGGGTTGCGGGGCAATGGATGGATGATGAGAGAAGCCAATTCAGCAAGTGCATATTCGTAGGTAACACTTGTGAAATCCCGTCCAGACAATGCAGGCCGTCCCCGGCGCCCGTCCGGTTGTTGCGGTAAAATAGAGGCTCATCCACCGCCTGGCCAATGGCTGGAGGTTCGCCGACGAATCCGGTCAAAGACGGTCCCTCCTGAGCCCCTGGCGATGCAGAAAGAGTACGAAATACATGGATCGGCTAGTCTATGACTAGTCTAGCTGCAGGTCATGATACAGGGCCGGTACGGGGTGGCTTGGAGGTTGGGGGTTCACAGTTCGTCTCTCCCTCTCAACTCTGCATAGGTGGTGAGGTTGAGGGTGCTCCGAGTACCCCTCATTTGCGCGACTCTGCCCCTCTTTTGACAGACAGTCGACGGCTTTCTGGCGTGGACAAAGCCTAAGCTCTGGCACTCTAGGATTCTTCGAAAGGGTTCCAGTGTGGGGGTTTGGGGGGGTTTTCGTTCCGGCTTGCCACAGCCGGCCCAGCCCCTATTATTCTCCTCCTTGTTCCTCGGTGCTTTCGCCCGATGACCGAGGCTGAGGCGTGGGTATCGTTGATGATGACTCTGGGGGTGCGTCATGCGGCGTTCCTCACGCTCTACACTAGAAATCAGTAAAGGTATGGATACATGCTTATTCCCGCACATTTGCTGTTCTGTGGCCGGGGAACGTTGAACCCATGTCGTTGTAAAACTTAGCTGTAGCATCTTCGTTGGTAGAGACCTGGGCTGTTTTTTGACTTTGTCTGACCGTTGATGTCACTCCCGCATGTCCGTTCGTTTACTTCAGTCTTTCGGTCTGAGGTGTCTCTGGTTCACCGTCAATAAGGCAAGGTTGAGAGTGTCCAATGTTGTCCGGTCGAAGTTGTGTTCACGTCGGTTGAAAAGCTCCGGGCGAGCAGTTCGGCGATGGAAGGAGCGCTTCTTGATCTCGGCCTAAGCTCCCGCAATTTTCTCGAGGCTGCTGGCGAGATTGTCCTCAATTCCTCGGGTGATGGTGGCAAGGACAACCGCTCAGATGCTCTGTGGCTGCGACTTTGTCAGCAATCTCCATGAATAAAAGGCCCAACTCAGGGATTAAACGCCAAACACATGCGACGGTTGCAAATGTCCATTGCTCGGGCCGTCCTGACATCCCGCGCTCGCATGCCTCAATGGCACGGCCGCTCATTGTTGATCAGCCACAATCATCAGACTGCCGCTTGTTTCCCCCCTAATTGGGCTGATGTCATGCGGAAGGGGAGTTCTTCTTGTGCCACATATCAGATGGTGTGATCGGTTCGGGGGCTGCAATCGGATATTCCACATTCCTGAAAATGCACAGAGATGAAGGCGGGACGTGACAGCCATGGTCGGGAGGCCTGCGACGCTCACGGGCGGCCTGTGGCCGGGCCTAGCTACCGGAACGGGGCCGCGGGTTGTGGCTCTCGGACCAACTTCCGGATGCAAGACCCGCCGCATCGGTTCAGGTCCTACTGCAGCAAGGGACACGCGATATTCCACCCTTTGCCTTACACTTCACAACCCCAGACGAGTCTCGAACAAAGGGTGGTCCCGGTCCCATCTCGCTCTCCCGAGACCTCAAGCTGAGTGAGCCCATGTCTTCATGTTGAGGCAGTTGTCATCCTTTCCACGGGCCGCTCAGTCCCAGCTAGGATCCCTGTCACCGTTTTCACGACCCTGTCGTTTCAGGATGCAAAAGCTTGGTGACAAGCTCCAGTCGAGGGGCAGCAATGGCGACCAAGAAAGCTCAGTGTTGCAGGAAACAACCTGTCAAAGCCGTACAATCCTGACCAATTTCCGGAACTGCCCTCCGTCCTTCGAGACCTTCCCTGTCGAAGCCCAATGTGCGAGGACCCCGCACAAGTCGATCTGCCGCTCACCGAACGAACCCAACCAACCTTGACGGCTAGGCCGGGACGTTTGGCTTCGATGCCCTTGTTGAACAGGAATTTTGCCAATCTGCTTGTTGCTGGCGATAGGAGCACCACGGAGATAGCACACACCTAGCCTCTGTACGCGGCAACACTCACGCCAACACACCAACCGAACTGCCCTGTATGTCTTGTGTCCTGCTGTCTCCCAATATTTGGTCTCGTGTTTTGTCATCGTCGTCAGCTGGACGGGCCAAGCAGGGTCTGTATCCCTGCCCCTGCCCATGATTTTCCGTGATATTTCCCTGGTATATAGAAAGAAAGTGTGACAGAGGAGAGCCTGTGCGCCATCGGTAGACTTCAGGACGGGCCTGTCATATCGGCAGAATACTGAGGGGCTTCCTGGGAGGCGCCCGTTGCCGCCGCCCGTCGATGCGCGTTCTGCTCGTTCTTCCTCCCGTTGATCAAACTATCAAGGGGTTTCATTGCTGAAAGCCACGTGCTCCTCCTTCGGCAAACACTCCTATAGGAGAACCAAGAGCACGTACTCATGTCCCTGTCTTTGAGTCACCTGGGAGGTCCTCGAATGAGCCTACCTATGTGCTCCGCACCCAATCCCTCCCGCCGCTCGAGCGTCTTGGGCTGATGAGGGTGGGGTGGGGTGGTATAGCAAGGCGAGGCAGGCCCCGAAGGAAGCTTTTAAAAACATGTAAATTGTCGGGCGTCCGTCCGTTTTCTTGAATCTCTTCCAGCTCGTCTTCTGAGATCATGATCATTCAGATGTTATCTCTCTGAATCGCCGCCAGTCCATTTCTAATTCGACTTCCTTGCCTCGTCTGGCCAGCCGTACTTGACCTAGTACACGTTAGTAGTCTGCCAACAGAACGATTTGATCAGGAATTCTTAGCACGAGGATTGTGCCGTTGTGTCCAGCAAATCGACAGGAAGATGCGATCGACGTTGACCTTTTCTCTCCTGGAAGAGAATAACAAGCCGCATCCCAAACCTCAGCCTGACCCTCCAGTCCCTGTCCCCGATAACCCAGATGACCGGCGGCGATCCTGAAGCTGGACCGACACCCGAACTTTGGACATCAAGAGCGGATATTCGAAAACCTTCACTCGCGTGGTGATCAGCTTCTATCTCAACATTCTGGTAGACGACAACAGTTGTCCTTAACCGCCGAGGGGTTCGAGCAGCAATGCATGCCTAGGAGCTGAAAAGGCTTGGAACGGTTCCGTCGTCAATCCACGGTACAGACAGTCTCGTAAATTTGTCTCGGGATTCTGGTTCGAGGGTAACTCGCATCGCAAGCTTTTCCCTCCTCTGCCGAGAGGTCGTGATGGGCTCCCATCAGAAGTTTTAGCGGTGGGCATCGAGCTCGCTATAGCATTGCAAAGCTATAGTCAGATGCCTCAGATTTGGAAGAATGTCGACAGACTTGTTGGGTGTCAGAGGAGGCTCTGCGACCATTTTTTTTGGAATGGAGGTTTGGCGGGATTCGTGGGCCTCGGAAGTGTCGAAGCTTGGCTTCTCCTGCCACGTTGAGGTGCGGTTCAATATTGTAAAACTTCAATGGACCCGGAGTAGTATTTCTTTTGTGCTGGATTTTTGAAGGAACGACGTTCAGGGTTAATGGATCAAATGAGTTGAGAGAATGGGGAAAGTGGTAGGAGAGAAAACACGAAGGTACCTTGCCTTAGGCTCGCTCACATGACAGCAATCGAGAAGGACAGTACTGTGTCCCAAAGCAACGTTGTGATACCATGGCACTTGTAACTTCCTCACATCCACAACTTTGTACGTCACATGGAGCTTCATGGGCATCCTTTCCCCGTCGATTCATACTGCTGAGAACTCGCCTTTGACTTGGACTTGCAGTCAGCGTACCTGGCACACTAAAGAACAACAAAGGATATTCAACAAATGAGACTGGAAGTGGTTTTGTGAGGCCATAATAAGGGAATGGTGGTTAAAGGTTCAGCATAGGTGAGTGAGCAATGAATGATATTGGTGACGTAGGATTGCTGTCTTCAAAGTGAGAGGAGGGCATCGCTTCTGGCTTTCGTACCTCATGTGAATCGGACACGACGACCTTCCTTTCTCACTTCTTATAGAAACTCTCACCGGTAGCTTCTTGTGGTTTGTATTGTATTCACTTGGCGTGACATGTATATTGTTTCTCTGAAAGAGCGTTGTTCAGTCTCACATACTAAGGGACGAGGAGAATTATTGGTCTCGAAGTTTGTGGTTCTTTCACTGGGAATATCATCACCTCTGGAGGAAAGTCCTTCCTCATATAATTTTTCAATGAGAGGCAGGATGCTTTGCACCTTCCTGCACACCGCTACCCACCTGAGTGACCGCCTTCCTTCCGACTCATTGCCTCTGGACCAGCACCTTGCCTCGTACTTACCTGTCGAGAATTTCTTCACACCTTCCGTCAAATTAATTGACCCATCCAACCCAAGGCCCTTCTTTCTTTCTAACACTTCACTTGAATTCTCTTCTCTTCCCCCCAACAACATCACTCGGTCGATCCTCAACCCTCCCTCCGTCAAACCACACAATCCAAGCTCACCATCGCCAACCCAGCTTCCCTTTGCTTTGGTGTCCAACTTTTGGAACTCTACCGACTCCCCTCCAGCACCAACCCTTCGTGCAGCACTCGTTTCTGCAGGGTTGGTCTTGTTGAAATCGCCCAGCAGATTCTTATATTGCATATCAGCCCTCACCAAGCTTGTCGACCTGCTATTTCGCCTCGTTGACTCTGGTAAGTGCTTTTGTTCACAACACTGTTTCTGTTCTTGGTTTTGGTCGACTTCCCTTTCCGAGTCTTCTACTGCCCAGACGAGCGACTTTGACGCGAGTTTGGACTGCTTTACCACCGCCGACCAGCCACTCTTCGAATGCTGTCAACCGCCTCCTTGACCAGCGATTGGCACGGCATTCCTGAATTTTGGAATCAGC